GACATCCCGATACATATTCACGTTCATCTTAAGGAAATATTCCCTAAGGTTGTATATCTCTCGGTTATGTAGATCCTTGGCATTCAAAATACCACGACCCCCACATTTCCGAGGAATATACAACCTCATTACAGACGAACGTGGATGATGCATTCTGTATGCCGTTAACAATCGCCTGACTTTTCTGTCCAGTACGTCCAGCTCTGATTGCGTCCACCTTAGTATGCCAAAGGAATATGTTAACATAGGCATGACCCAACCATTAAACGCTCGGATTTTGTTTCCGCCTGATAAATGGCTTTTTAAGACCTTTATAAGACGACCAAAAAACCGATCTCTAAACGATTGTTTCATATCTGCGTCAACAATATTCAGCACTTCAAACATACCAAGGTACTTGTAAGTTTCCGATTCACAAAGAGACTTGAGGACCACATTATGGTTAAGTAGTAAGCAATCTGAGCTTACAACTTTACCTCTCTGTACATCTATGAACGCACATTTATCAACACTAAATTCCATCCCAATGGCTTTACTAAAACTGTCGGTTATTTTAAGTAAACTCATTAAGTCTGGTTTTTTGGAAGCAAATAATTTGAGATCATCCATGAACAAGAGATGTGCTATAGCCTCAGCTCCTCTGCGAAGTCGGTAGCCTAGCGTTGAATCTTTAAGTAATGTACTTAAAGGATTAAGCGCCAAACAAAACCACAAAGGTCTCAGACTGTCGCCCTGAAAGATACCCCGCTTAATCCTTATTAAATTCGGGGCAGCAGAAGAAGTCATTATTATTATTATTATTTCATCGTTGTGGTAGACATAGTCATCTAACTACTTTTAATTTTTAATCGAGGACATTATAAATCATTATTATACCATTAGAACCTCCCCTTTTTATGATATCCTTCCAAAAGACATTCCCCAGCCTATCAATATTAATTATTTATTAACTTTAGTCTATTCTAAACACGTACTTACATATTCTGTGTAAATTTTTATCTGCTTATAATATTTATCTTTAAAGTAGTTAGTCTAACATATTATTATATGTTTGTGCTGTTCTTAAAATCACAAATTCGCGTATGGAAAACATTGATCAAATTTATTTGTATTTAGTAAAAAAAATTCTCTCTATGCACCTGTCATTTTTGTACATACTTTGACATTGGCAAAATCAATGCCAAAGGCGTTGGAGACAAATTTCTATATAAAAAAACCCCATTAGAACTGGCCTAAATTGAATACTTGAAATCAATACTAAAAGATAGAAGTTACTTTTATGATTTAATTACACATGAGGTGAAACTTTAAACCATTCTCCTGTAAACCACAATTTTTGACATGATGCTTTGTATGTAGGGGCTGTTGGTTTATTAATATCATTCACTGCATCTACACTTTTAATATTATTGACATTTACCATTTTGAAAACTGACAAAATGACACATCTTTTAAAATCTTAGTTAAATTACTCAAATATTATAAAAAAGTTTTCATAAAGTAAAATTGTAGGTATTTATATATTCCAAATATTCACTAATCATATTGCTTTAACAAATATATAATCTTTTTTTTACCTAGCTATCTACTTTACAAATGTACCAAATGTTCACAATTGACTTCTATGATCAAGGAATAATATTGTGTAATAATAATCAAAGCCACAAAAGTATAATTTGCGTAATTACTGGTGGTAGGACCTCTTGAGTCCGCACAGATAGGTACCACCACCCTGCTTATTTCTGCCGTAAAGCAGTAATTTGAAGCAGCAGTTTGAAGGGTAGGGCAGTTGTAACTATACTGAAACCTTGGAACTCATATTTCAAGGTGGGTGGCGGCATTTACGTTGTAGATGTCTATGGGGTCCAGTAACCACTTTGCACCAGGTGGGCTGTGAGCTCATCCAACCATCTATACAATAAAAAATTAATAAGAAATACTACTAATAACCTCGAGGATTTATACTAGCTTCACCAAACATGTAAGTCAGCAGTCTTACAAGCAAAGTCTCCGGGTTGAGCCCTTTGCTAACATCAGCCCTAGCAAAAACAGTGCTTCTGAAACTACCACCAGATCGTAATCAGAATTAAGACAAAACAAAAAACACAATACATATCTATTATTACCTTCCAGATTTTTTTTTTTGGTGAAAATGAATTCAGTTAGGTCATTAAATGAGGTAAAAGTAATAGGGCTTACTAAGCAAAAAAACTAGGAGCTTGTCAGTCAAAACGACCAAAATTGCCCCTTGCGTCTACTTTCGTTTCATTATATTCATTCATTCACATCATTAAATGATATGGCAATTATCATTATGTATGTATACCTAATTAAGTAAACAAATTAACATGTTTAAAGTATTCTTATTTATAGAGCAAATTTGATTTTATTCATTTCATGTCAGGAAATATAACATGATTCCTGGTTAGATATAATAGTAACAAGGCAAATTTCCATCAAAACCATGATCCTCATTAGCGAGGGAATCACTTGGGGAAGGATATTTGCAAAAGAAATCACGCATAGTTATTTTGCTAACATCAATTACGATTGATTAATATATCACGAGAAGATTAATCTCTAGAAATCAAAATATACTTTGTCTGTAAAAAGAATGCCAACTTGAACTTCAATGATCAATGGGTATCTGATTTGTATTGAAATCACTTGCATACAATCATGTCTTCACTAGCTTAACTCAATGTCACCAATAATGGTATCGTAACAGAGCAATTGCTATTTGGAAAGACAATGATATCCGTTTTTTATAGCCTTGGTAGGCATTTCATAGTACGATCTTCATAATGGAGCGTGCGCCAAAACATTGTTATTAAAAAAAAAAAATAGTTTTAAGACTAGTAATCGTATTAGCATCACAGTTGACATGTTTACTCACAATAGTAACATCATCGAGGTATTTTTGTACTGCCCTAAGTTTAGAACGATAAGAAAATTGAAATCCGGGTGTGAAACCATTCTCGAACGGTGCGTTTCTGTATGACTTGTAAAGGAAAGTCATTTTTGAGCACTTTGGAAATTGTTTGATATCAACGATTGTGACGACTTTACTTCGTTAAAACTGCGCACAATGAACGTCTCTAGTATTCACAACACTAAAACAAGACGTGCCATTAAGCAATCCTATCATACGAAACAAAATTGACAGACTGAATTCTGTGACTGAGTTTTTGGCTCATTTCGCATTATTACGTCACGGAATTTAAGCTTAATGCGTCTATGAAGGTTAAAAATAAACAAATATACTGACCGGAACTAGCGGACGCTGGTTGAAGAGGCTCGGCAGGCAGCAAAACGGCATGACTTAGATCTTCCAGAGACAGGGCGGTCATAGCACTTGATAATAAAGGATTTTTCACTACACTCCTACCGAAATGATCACCGAAACTCTTGTCGGACATTTTGCCGCGTGCTTATTGAACTTTTCGAACGAGAATTTTCACGGATTTACACATTTGGAGGACGAAAATTGATAATTTAATTACAAAAAGTTACGTGTCACCTGCATATTTTGACAATTCTATGATGACAATAACATAGAGTTTTCCGACGTCAGCTGTGCAAAAAGTTTCGATTGTTTTTTTTGAACAGGTTAGTTGAAAATCTACTCTGAACATAGTGTAATAAAGTAAATAAATCTGAAATACCTACTATGAGAAATTTTGGGAACACAAGACTAGTTTTTCGAATACACTTTAAAGCATTTTACTAAGCAATCTCCACGATCACACAAAATTTGAAAACATCTTTTTGTATAGCAATCTATGTAAATGCAAATAGGTTTTTCACAGGTTTCGCAACATTCGATTGTTATTCAGTAGAAACCATACTAAGTACTTACTCTCAGAATATTTCGATATGACTATCTAATTTTTAGATTTTAACTGATTTACGATCAGCGGTAAGCATATTTTTTGAATCGTTTTGCATATTTCAACGTTCTGTTTTGAGCTTGAAGAAACCTGTCGAATTATTCATGCGAAAACATTTTGAGCAGACATTTTCACACGATGTTTCGCTTCTCTTAGATGAAATAACGGTCTAAAGATCAATAATTATGTAAACCGAAAGAATCTACGGTCTACATCTAGAAATAAAAACGTCTCTGTAGCGCTGCGAATAAAACTCGACACTCCAAAAGAGGCACTTTAGATTTAGACCGCAAGAGAATGAAATAAAATATGTATAACATAAACCCTGTGAGTTTCTCGTCGGATTAACTCAGCGGGTCGCGATTCCTATCCGGTTGTATTTACATTCGCGAGGTAGCTGCCCTCAAACTGTTAGGTCTCTTTCGGAGGCGCTCAGGCAGCTGTCAGTAAATCCCACCCCTCCCGGTTGAGTTCACGCACTCCCACCTATCCTGCTGAAACGGAAAAGGCATGGGGCACTAGTAATATCTCCATCCTAAAAAAAGTACACTCAGTTTATTATTTATTTTTTTCCTACCTATTGGCTGGTATCTTAAGGGGCTATTCTAGCTACGCGCGGACGGGTAAGTGAGCTCATGGGCTCAACTTGAGAGATTTTGCTAACACTAGCCCTAGCAAGAGCAGTGCTTGGCAAAATCTACCACCCAGATCGGAATCGCGACCCATTGAGAAGATCCGAGCGAGAAACTCAGTCGGCTGTGTCAATGGGCTAGTTCGCTCGTCGAACTTTTCACCCTAATCGACGAGTTGTTTCGGGCGACAGCGGCTTTGCGTTTTCCCCTTCGCGATCGGATAAAGTTTTCGTGTCGCGCTGCTTTGTTGAAGTGGCGTACTGACGCTTCCTTAAGATACTTACGTATCGGTTATAGATTTAGGTCGTCGTGAAGATACATTTCTCACATACCACGATGCTCTGATAGCTATCCTGCAGAAACGGGAATGAATGACCTGGAAGAGAATTATGCAAACAATTTTATCTCTCATCAACCGAATGATCATTGTTCTATACTCTTCGTATATACTGTGTTACTTATAATATTTTGTATTCAAGTTTAACAATATTTGCTATGTGTATGTGCATTACTATAATTCTCATGTTGTATTTGTTATTTTAGCTGTTCTAGACACACTCATCACTTTTAATTATTATTCTCATACCTCTCACAGGTTTGCTGGAAGAGATTTCTTAAAGAAATAAGCAGTGCCTTTGTACATAATTTTCCTATTACTCTGTACTATGTCTTCTTTTCTGTGTGTACATAAATAAATGAGATTATATTTCATTCCATATCATCTCATTTCATTTCGTTTTCATTTAATTTAATTTAATTTCATGCCATGTTTTATATTAATCAACTTCATTTTCATTTCATTCATTTCATAATAACATTTTTCATATAGAAAAGTTTTCTTTAAAATAAAAATAAGACTTGACCTAAAGGTCTTAGCTACCAGGTCATAAAATCCCTTTAAAAAATCCATAGATCACTTAATATTGTAGAACATACCAAGTGTATAGTCTATGTTTCAGAACATAGATTGTACACATAATATGTTTGAGATTTATTTTGGAAACATCAACAGGGATTTCAAAACAAAAAGTAATGAACGCACGAAACTAGATGTTTATTACTGTTTAATTGAAAATGTCAGATGTAAAAGATGATCCAGCCCCTCCGCCGCCGATTAAACGGTACAGGCGCGAGGAAAAATCAGATTCTGACGAAGACGTGGACAACTATGAACCTTACGTTCCCATCAAAGAACGTAAGAAACAGCAGCTTTTGAAGTTAGGGAGGCTCGGGCTGCTCACCGCGGAAGCTGCGGCGGACACTAAAAGCTCTAGCGAAAACGACCATGACGATGAAAGTAATTAGATTATACCTAATTCCACTATTCGATAGTTTTTTGTTTTTTTGGTATACTATATTAGCTTGGAAAATATAAGTAAACATTCCATGTTCTTCGGTGCTCTAGTTCAGTTTAATATAATTAAAACTGTTTTTATGATTTAATCTCGTGTGTAAAATTCATTAATTTATTTTGGAATTTTCCATTAATTTTTCGTGTTTAATATGATGAAATCAAGATTTTACGGTTTCAAAACTTCCCCATTTCATATACTAAAGATCTTCTACAAAGTTACTGAAAATTACTCAGAACTAATTAATAACTGACCTAACCTCACCATCTATAGTTGGTAAGGCAATTCCATATTTACTAATGGCACCATAGACTGCCTTCGTGGAAGCATCAGTGATAACATAGGCCCTCAAATGCTTTATTTACCATATCATTCAGATCAAGCCATTAATAAAAATACAATAATAAAAACTAGTTTTTTGACTGAATATATCACATTTATTATTTCCAATGTCTAGAATTATTTATACTGTTCTGCGTGATCAAAGTTGATGAAGTTTGACTGAAAACCTCAAAACAATAAGTAAGCAATGAAACTAAAAATAGTTTTGGTTCTATGAGTCTCAAAATCTGAAGAGCACATAAGAAAGAATAAGCTATCTAATGAATTATCTTATGAATGTAGACTTTTAACTTTAAATTCAACTTTATAAATGTCAAGCTCCATTTTATAAACATCGAATTCAATTTTCTAAGTATATAATTCAATTTCTATTCCAATGTTACAATTTTATTTATTATCGAAAGAAATTGAATTAGATGTTTACAAAATTGAAAATTGTAGTTAAAAATTTGTATATGAAATGTTACAAGTTAATATGACCATTCAAACCTATTCTAGCATCTCAAGAGGAATGGGGCAGACGTTACAACGTTTCACTGCTGGACCAGCACAGTGAGTTGAAGAGACTGGCTGAGGCCCGAGCTCTCTCCGCAGCCGAAAAACAGGCAAGAGAAGAGGAACATATACTCGAGAGTGTAGCGCAGAGCAAAGCCCTGATGGGAGTGGCAGAGTTGGCTAAAGGTAATAAAATCATTTAATTAAGTAATATATCGTAGATAAAGTACCAATCCCTCGTAAGGTCATTTTTCACTAGACAAAAAAAAACATTTTTTTTTATTGTATAGATGGGTGGATGAACTCACGGCCCACCTGATGATAAGTGTTTACCGGAGCTCTTAGAAATCTACAACATAAACGCTGCCATCTATCTTGAGATAACCTACCTTTATAAGAGATGAGTATATATCAGCCAGTAAAGATTATCTGTCTCTGCAGGTATACAATATGAAGAGCCAATAAAGACATCATGGCGTCCACCACGTTGCATCCTCGAGCTGCCGGAGACGAGACACGAAATGATCAGGAATAAATTGAGGATATTAGTCGAGGGTGACGATCCTCCTCCGCCAATAAGGACCTTTCAGCACATGAAGTTTCCTAAAGGTATAAAAAAAAAAAACTTTAATTAATAGATTCTAGATGAGAATGCATTAATTAGAAACAAAAATATAAAATTCTAATTTTTGTTGTTGATCTAATCTATATATTAATATGTGAAGCAAAAACGTTGTACCCCTTTTTATGAAAATTGCGCGGACGTAGGAGTATAAAATTTTCCACACTTATAGAGAATGTAGAGAAGAAGTGCACAATGCTAATATTTTTTAAAATAAAGCATAAAAGATACATTAAATCAATAAAACAAACATTACACACACTACCATGTATTTGACACACACACACACACTTACGCATTTGTACTGTTTTGTTTATTGTTTAATTTTCTATGGTCAAATTGAGAATAAATTAGTATTTAGTATTGTTTGTCTTTATTTGTCTATGGCGTAGTCTTGGTGACATCTGTGATTATAGAAGTTTAATAGTCTTTGACAATAGAACAAGTAATGTAGTAAGTAATGGTCAAACTTATAGTTTAAATTAGTAATAATTATAGTCTATCATCAACACTACCACAACAACACACTATCACAACACCTACGCATGCAATACAAAAAATTGTGGCATATATTTGGGGAGGTTCTTGTTAATTTTGATCCTAAATAATGAATAGCATATAGTCAAGTCTCTCTGCTCTGAACGCTCTTTCCAGGCATTCTCCGCGGTCTAGAAGCCAAGGGCATCCAGAAACCGACCCCGATCCAAGTCCAGGGAATGCCAGCTGTGCTGAACGGCAGGGATATGATCGGAATAGCCTTCACTGGCTCTGGGAAGACATTAGTCTTCACTCTCCCAATAATAATGTTCTGTTTGGAGCAAGAAGTGAAAATGCCATTTATACGGTAAGCAATATATTTGCATCCAATAAATAACCTTTGGAAGAAGTTGAAAAAAGAATTATTTATTTATTTCTTCAAATATTGACAATAGAATTTTCAGTAGAACGTAATAGATTTTAATAATAAAAATAAATTTTGGCTAAATATTATCTATAAGAGTTTTTAATCGATTAGTTCATGAATTAAATATCTTAATAATTTTTCCTGCATCAGATACATACACTTTTGTGTGTGTGTGTGTATTTTTATTTATTGCTTTGATGGATGGACGAGCTCACAGCCCATCTAATGTGAAATGGGTACTGGAGGCCATAGACATGTACAACGTAAATGCACCACCCACCTTGAGACATGAGTTCTAAAGTCTCAATATACAGTTACAATGGCTGCCCCACCCTTCAAACTGCTTCACGGCAGAAATAGGCAGGGCGGTGATACCTACCCGCGCGGACTCAGAAGACGTCCTACCATCAGTGCTTACTCTCCCGACTTCTCGAGAGCCCAATAGTCAATATGTCTACCAGTTGTCTCAGGAGTTCTGAAACACTAATTGTTCCTTCTAGGAATGAGGGTCCCTACGGCCTGATCATCTGTCCCTCGCGCGAGCTCGCCAAGCAGACCCACGACATAATACAACACTTCATCAGGCACCTCAAGCTAACCGGGAGCCCCGAGATCCGGAGCTGTCTCGCCATCGGAGGTACCGCGCCCCAATACCTATAACTATACTTGAGACCTTAGAACTTATATCTCAAGGTGGGTGGCGCATTTACGTTGTGGATGTCAATGGGCTCCAGTGACCACTTAACACCAGGTGGGCTGTGAGATCGTCCATCTATCTAAGAAAAAAAAAAAACAACGGGTCACAGGTCAAACAATAAAAAAATAAATAGTAGTTTATTAGTTTAGTAGTTAGTTAGTTATTAATAAGTAATTAGTTACTATAAATATTTAATGAACAGATATGAGTAGAAGGGTTATTTTGATAATATCCTGAAAAGCACCCCACTCTTTTTTTTTTATAATAAAATATTTTTTTCTTACTTTCTTCTTCAATTTCTTCAATTTTTATTTCAAATTTATTAAAATTTGTTTTCTATTTTTTAGTTGATTTCACTTTTTTCAATAAATTTTTTTCAGTTTTTTTTTATATTGAATTGTCATCGGTCCTTAATAAGTATACCATATTTCGAGTTAATCCGACGTTTTGAAGGGGGTCAAAATCATGTTCTCATACATACATCTGAAGCTAATAAAAGCGTATTAAAAAAACACGTGTGGCACACGGGGACTGCCGCGGTAAAACTATTGGCATAGCATTTTTTATCAACTTATGCAATTATAATTAGACAAAAATAATTTAATATTAAAACAATAATAAAAAAATAAAACCACGCTATATTTATAAACATTAACAAAAATAGAACATTAACTGTCCCCTTCACACTCATAAGCTAGACCGCGCGAGAGAGAGATGGGCAGACTTTTCATGATGCGCATGCAGTGTGACGTCACGCCGCGCGCTTATTCACAAACACTACACAAGCGCAACGTGTGAATGTGTTGAACGCGAGCTACATGGTAGGCGGAGTGGGGGGTGTTAGGTTTTATTTTCGTTACGGAATTTCTTGATTCGGTCGCCGCGCTCCAAGCCCGCGATAAAAGCTATGCAATGTTTTAGTATCTTAAGTCAGAAATTTTCGATGTTAGGCGTCGCCGTCTCTGAATGCATGGAGGTCGTCCAGAAAGGTGTTCACATCATGGTCGCGACGCCGGGGAGGCTAATGGATATGCTGGATAAGAAGATGGTAAGTCAATTAGAATAGAACTTAATTTTGACTGATCCGGTGGAGCAGCAGTTAGCACCTCTGACTGTGGCGCTAAGGGTCGCAGGTTCGATTCCCACTTCAGGCAAACACTTATGTGATGCACAAGTTTGTTTGCTTTTTGTCTATAACCTATATAATATGTATATATTTAATCGTACTAGTGTCCCGCAGTAGTCGAAATTCGACTATAATTAATTGAAATTATAAGTTTGAATATTATTATGGTTCTTTTGTCAAAGACTATTTATGCTTCTATGATCGCTGATTTCGCCAAGACTACACTATAGACAAATATTAATAAAGACAAATAAATATTTAATTTATTCTCAATTTGACCACAGACTTTAAACATTAAACAAAAATTTGACAATAAACGTAGTCAAAGACGTGGTAGTATGTGTAATGTTTTTATTAATGCATAATTTAAAAAAAAAATAGCACTCTGCACTCTTTCTCTATATCATTACATAGTATAAAACAAAGTCGCTTTCTCTGTCCCTATATCCTTATGTATGCTTAAATCTTTAAAACTACGCAACGGATTTTGATGCGTTTTTTTTTAATAGATAGAGTGATTGAAGAGGAAGGTTTATATGTATAATAAAATCCATTAAATAGTGAAGAAATCAATAATAAATTACAGTTTCCGAAGCGAAGCGAGGGCGGGTCGCTATAAGTGTGGAAACATTCATAATCCTCCTTCACGTGATGCGTAGAGAGAAGATGCATGTGACTAGGAGATGTATGGAAATGGTAGTGCAAGGTAGAGGGGGAAGAGGTCGAACGAAGAAGACTTGGATGGAGTGTGTGAATGACGATATGAGAGAGAGGGAGTGAGTGTTGAGATGACGGCTGATACAGAAGAATGGAATAGAAAAATTCGCTGTGACCCCGCCTAGTGGGATAAGGTGGAGACAAAGAAGAAGAAGAGTATTAAATATATAGATATAAGTATGTATATCAGTGTCCGGTACCCATAGCAAAGGGAACCCTGAATTTGAGGGCCGGATATCCGTGCGTGTTTGGTTCCCAATTATCCGTTTACCTCCAGGTCCGCCTTAACGTCTGCCGGTACCTCTGCATGGACGAGGCCGATCGTATGATCGACATGGGCTTCGAGGAGGACGTGCGAACGATATTCTCTTACTTCGCCGGGCAGAGACAGACGCTACTGTTCAGCGCCACTATGCCGAAGAAGATTCAGAACTTTGCCAGGTAGGTTCAATTTTTATCACCCCATGTTATAATAAATAACGTGTAAATAATAAATAAATAAATAATAAATAAATATTTACTAACAATCACGTCACGTTAACTGGTCCCGTGCTAAGTTCGTAAAGAACTTGTGTTACAGGTACCAGATAACGGAAATAAATGTAAGATTTTTATTATACACATACACATATTTAATATACATCCATAACCCTGGAAAAGACATTTATATTTATCATACAAATATCTTCCCTTGGCGGGATTCGAACCCGCGACCCCCTTGTGTAGTGACCATGTCACTTACCACTACACCAGACGGCCGTTGATGTCCATGGACTACAGCGGTCAAATAACATCAGTTGCGCCGTTAAGTATTATACCCATTTACTCAACGAACAACGAATTATTATACGGCCATTTCCGCTCCCATATTAAGCCTGATTGAAAGTACTAAAAATTACGCAAATTATAATTTGGCGGGTCTATCCACGCAAAAAGACCACCGAAAAACTCCTCATTCGTGTAAGAGACTCTTCGAAAACACTTAACAGATCAGCTCTGGTCCGTCCGGTGACGGTTAACGTGGGGCGCGCTGGGGCTGCCTCGCTCACCGTCCGCCAGGACCTGGAGCCGGCGCAGCCCGAGGCCCGCACCGTGCAGCTGCTGCACTGCCTGCAGAAGACTCCGCCCCCGACCCTCATATTCGCCGAGAGGAAACAGGACGTGGACGCCGTGCACGAGTACTTGCTGCTGAAAGGTGAGACCAGTTCCTATTTTCATCAATGTTTTGCAGGATCCAGCGCTATCCGTGGTGGTTGTTGGAGGTTTTTTGGGTATTTAGTCAAGGTGGATGGCGCATTTACGTTGTAGATGTCTATGGGCTCCAGTAACCACTTAACACCAGTTGGGCTGTGAGCTCGTCCACCCATCTAAGTAATAAAAATGAAAGCATTGTTCCTATCGCACCACTATAGTTTGTTAAGAATGCCAGGTCCCTGAAACTTTAAGACAAATACTTTTATTGTATGGAAACTAGCGACATCTCGTAGGGATGCCCCTAAACTTATTTGTTGTTAAAGTTAAGGCATTTAATTATTGTACAACTAAACACAGAACATAAAATAAAAATAAAACATACAAGCTGTTATAGATAAATTAATTAAATTTTATCACTTGTGGTTTCTTAATACTTACAAAATACTTCATTAAAAATAAAATATAGGATAGTTAATATATTACTGCCATCTACAGGAGCAATGAGAAACTAATCGAAGCGAAGCCATCTAGTGGCCGACGCCCGTAAACATTTTTGTTGAGTGCGGTTTTGTTGACCGCTTTGCCTATACGACCTGTTCACATGGTGGTACTGGTGGTAGCACGTCTTGTGAGTCCGCGCGGGTAGGCACCACCACCCTGCCTATTTCGGCCGTGAAGCAGTAATGCGTTTCGGTTTGAAGGGTCGGGCAGCCGTTGTAACTATACTGAGACCTTAGAACTCATATATCAAGGTGGTTGGCACATTTACGTCGTAGATGTCTATGGGTTCCAGTAACCACTTAACACCAGGTGGGCTGTGAGCTCGTCCACACATCTAAGCAATAAAAAAAATATAAAGATTACAATTTAAAAGTTACTCGTAAACTAATCTAACATCGTGTGTCCTGGTCGATCTGAGACCCAAGATTGCTGGGTCCTAATATACGAAGCGATGACCTGGATGCTGATCATTTAGATCAGTCAAGTTGTGTTGACAGCTCTCTTCGTGACAGCTGACGGTCGATTCCCGGAAGGTACATGCGAGGGGTTTCCATGTACTGGCTTTACGTAACACCCTTCTAAAGATCGATCATCAGCACATTGATTGTAACGCTTAAACATGCCAATGCCAATGTCAGGAGTGGAAGCCGTCGCCATTCACGGCGGCAAGGACCAGGAGGAGAGGTCTCGGGCAGTCGAAGCCTTCAGGAGGGGGGAAAAGGACGTGCTGGTGGCCACGGATGTCGCTAGTAAAGGTCAGTATTGCGTTTTGAGCCATATCGGTACGAGTGACGCGGCACTTTATGCCGCCGACCAGGGTAGTACAGGGAATCCTTGCTTGGGACCGGTTGTGATTAATACCCGGATATTATAGTAATTTTTAGTACTTTCAATCAGGCATAATATGGAAGCGGAAATGGCCGTATGACATTTCGTTGTTTTGTTGAATAAATGGGTATAATACTTAAGGGCGTAACTGATCCGTAGTCCATGGACATCAATTATTTTCACGTTATAAACATGGGGTTATGAAAGTTGAATTCTCAATGCTTTGCGTGATTAGTAAGTACTGCGAAGCAATTTGAATGGTGTTTCAATTGTTAAACAATATAATTGGGACGCACAATTCTACCCGCAAAAATTATAATTTGCGTAATTAGTGGTGGTAGGACGAATTGTGACCACCGCCCTGCCTGTTTCTGCCGTGAAGCAGGGTTTCGGTTTGAAGGGCGGGACGGTCGTTGTAACTATACTGAGACCTTACAACTTATATCTCAAGATGGGTGGCGGTATTTACGTGTGAGCTCATCCGTTCATCTAAGCAATAAAAAAAGCTTTCCCAAGTCTCAATAGGAATTCGTGGTCCCTTGCCATGGGCTCGCCCCGGGTATGGTAGGCAGCGGCTTGACTCTGCTCCTGGCATTGCTAAATTGCCATGAGCGACGGTGACCACTTACCATCAGGTGGGCCGTATGCTCGTCTGCCTACAAAGGCAATAAAAAAAAAACCTGTTCGGATCTGTAAGTCGCCCGCGACCCCTAGGGCTCGACTTCGCGAACATCCAGCACGTCATCAACTACGACATGCCGGAGGACATCGAGAACTACGTGCACCGCATCGGGCGCACGGGGCGGGCGGGGGGCGGGGGCGTGGCCACCACGCTGCTGGGCCGCCCCGACCACAGCGTGCTGCGGGACCTGGTGCATCTGCTGCGGGAGGCCGGACAGCGGGTGAGTGTGGGCGCGGGGGAGTTTAGGGGGGTTGGGGGCGGGGGCAGCAGCGCTCTCTGACTGTTGTATCAGAGTACTGCGATTTACTAGTGCTAAAGCTTAATACAGGTTAGCAAATTTAAAAACTACCATAACCCGACAGCTGTCCAACCACGTAAACCTTAAAGTACTTGATAGTTAATTTTTTTTTTTTTTTTTATTCAAGGAAAGGAAATTATTATTTATTCAGGAAATCGTATGAGTAGCTAGTGGAATTTTTTATAAAAGTTAATCTGAACTTTAAATTTTAACCATGAACTTTGGTATTTTTTCATTTTTAATTTGGGTACTACCTAAGATTTTGCTTCGAGTCCCCAGTAGCTCTACTATGTGGTGTTTCGGGATTATCGATTCTTTCTAGGACACCCTGTACATTAGTTTTGTGTTTGGCGTGTAGGTCCCTGGCTTCCTCCTCGACATGCTGGGTGAGCCCGACGTGCCGGCTCCCGCTGGCCAGGGCTGCTCTTACTGCGCGGGTCTGGGACACAGGATCACAGGTTCGAGGAATACTGACCAAATATACTTTATATCAAAAAAAAAAAAAATATGTGTGTGCAATATTACGTACACGTTAGTAAAAAAAAATCTCATAGATGGCGCTGTTTTTAAAAACCTCAATGATGCATCCTATCTCGTTTTCTCCCACGTTAAATCTTATGAATTTGTGTGTCTGTCTCTTTTTCGTTTCATCGTCTTTCAAATCACAACGATGCTAAAGAAGTTTTCACTTATAATAAAAAGAAGCTCCAAATGAAACATCTTCAAATTACTTTCATGGGTTTTTGCTTTTGCCTCTAAGACTTTAAAAAAAAGTGTCATTAAAATATGCTCACCAGAAATTTTGTTTGCGTCAGAAGAATCAAAATTTAAATGGTACGGTTGTCTGCCCTCACATTGTTAAGTGTCATCGAACACCGGTGACCACTCACTATCAAGCGGGCCGTATATGCCTAGAAAGGCAATCTATACAAATAAATAAAACTGGAGTGTCTGTAATAATAAAATAACCACTTTTTACTAAATGCGTAAATATACAGTACATATACCAAAATATATATTTTTTAAATTTTTGTCCGTTTGTTTGTTCCGGCTAATCTCTGATCTCTGGAACGGCTGGACCGATTTTGACGAGACTTTCACTGATAGGTAGCTGATGATATAAGGAGTAACTTGGGCTACTTTTTTTAGACTAGCTTCGCCCCGCGGCGTCACCCGCGCTACGACTATAACCGCGGGTAACATCGCGGGACTAAACTATCAATAATAAAATTTAATGTTTCCGAAGCGAAGCGAGGGCGGGTCGCTAGTATGTACTAAATAAAACTTATATTTCCGTTTACAGAATGTCCGAAGTTGGAAGCCGTGCAAAACAAGCAAGCTTCAAATATCGGCAGAAGAGACTATTTAGCGAACACCGCAGCCGATTATTAATAATATAGTTTATTGTATTTGAGAACTGTAAAATAAATTAATTTAAGAGAATTTGATTTTAGTTTTTTATATAATTAGTATTGCAAATGATGCGACAAAAAAAACCAGCAGCGTAACGACAAGTTCTTTTATTTGTGCGAGAAAGCAGAAAGCAGGTAGAAATGGCCGGCATGGCTTGTTTTATTAAAACTATCCCCCCTTCGTTGGCTTTGGCTAGCGGCAGTGGCGGAAGGGGGCGTGTTAACATGGCTTGGCGGCTTGGCTGGCGGCAGGGCATGGCAGATGACGTCACGTCCGTTACATTAGAGTATCCAAGGGTGTATGGTGGCTTCACGTCGGATGTGCGTCGAGTGAATAATGTACTCCAGTCCCCTTCAGTTTGATTTTAGCTCCACAGGAACAACCTTTCTGACATCCACGTGCAACGATCCACTCACCATCAAATGGGCCGTACGCTCGTTTATATGTGAAGGCAATAAAAAAAATGTTTGAAATGGTTCGAAGGGCAGCTGTTGTAACTAAACTTGAGACCTTAGAACTTATATCTCAAGGTGGGTGGCGCATTTACGTTGTAGATGCCTATGGGCTCCAGTAACCACTTAACACCAGGTGGGCTGTGAGCTCATCAACCCATCTAAGCAATAAATATAAATAAAAAGATTAAAAAACACATATCTGATACAAAGAAAAAAAAAACAAAGTTTTATTAACTATTAATATACCAATTTGACAAAAAAATAATATTATATTTATATATAGAGAACATACATAATGCATTTGACAAAATAACAAACCTTCCTCGAATGAATGGCCTCGATTTTATTAAATAGTGACAGGTCAGTGACGTAAACAATTTTAGATACATTACCTAGACTATAGTCCCAAGACTACACTTCGCAGCTCACGTCGATATTCGATTTTATTGACAGCTGTCAAATTTGACATCTGTCACTATTTAATTAAATCAGTCGCGTCTCTATCAGTGTTACACAGTAAAATGGAACGCGCAGTTTTTAAATAATATCTTGAACATTCAGGATTTCTTTTTAAATATTTAAGAGTGCAGCGTAAAGTTTTGGGGGGCGCGAATGTCGGACACATTAAAAACACAAGACATTCGACTATTTCAGAATATTTACGTTTTTCTTTTTTTATATTACAAAAGGCACAGGCGCCAATTTTATTTTATATTTATAATTAAGACTTTTTTTTCCCTAATTATTTTAAATTTTAATAATTTAAGATTTAGATTTAATTTGCGTACGATTTCTGATTTTTTTTCTGTGATTCGCTTCAGCAGCTCGAAATCAGAGGCTTAATGATGAACGATTCCAACTGTTTTACGACAAAACTTACTATCAACGCTACTAAAACAAACAAAAAAATTTGTCTTGAATTCGATTGCGAATGGCGAGAACTACAAACAAATCCTTATAGAATTGATTTATGCAAAAACCAGAACTGAAGTTTACAGAAAAAATAATACTATGTATATTTAAAAAAAAACGATCAACAAGATGGCATCAATTCGGTTTGGGCCGCGTGCTAATAGTACCTTTGTCTAGCAGTAAATCTTATTAGTAAAACATATTGCATTGCCTACGATCGTCCACACAATAGTAACTATGAAGTAAATTCATAAACATCACATACCATTCGTATTCCAGTTAATTAAGTGAGAGACTCTTCGAAGACTTATAGATAGCTTTTCGAACATAAATATATCGTTTTTGGCTATATTATTAATAAAATAATTTGCCAACTGTGAACACAGCTCGTTTTAATAGTACAAAAGTAATTTCAAGATGAGATAATCCGAGTTGGAACATCGATGTACTTCCCTATTGACATGTCATTGTCTACTTTTTATGTATGTTAAAAACTTTATAAGTATTCAACATTACATTGCGTTAGTGGTCACAATAAACAATTATTGTACATACATATCAAGTTAAAAATTATAATAATTTTATTTGAATTCGAAGCCAGTATTCAACTTTGTGAAAATTCATATAATTCCAATTGTTTTTTTTTTTTCGAAATTCCACTCTTATGAGCACAAATAACTCAATGATTTGATTAATTTCGCGAATCATACACATGATAGCATCGTTACAGCTTGCAGAGCGTCGGTACTTTCCCAGATGGGCTCACAATGCCCACCGTTGATAACAGCATTATACAAAGTCGCATTTAATATAATGATGATGATGCATTATTTATAATGGTCTTTTGTAATATTTTGGGTGTTTTTAAAAACTATACATTTAACTTTGATGAATCTTTAGCGTTCTTTGTTAGTACAGTTCTGCTGTGCACACACAAACATAACGGCTGGAGTTTTTTTTCTTTTAACTCGTTTTGTTTACTGCGATACACCATAGACTCATCAGATCCGTGAAAAATACCCAAAAAAACCACAAGGACCACTATTTAGAAACATCGATTACGTAACAAAATCGAAGCCTAGGTACTTTTTATTTTTTCTCCGCACCCTGGACGCTGCTTTCTTGTCATCAAACTCATCGTTGTCATAGGAGATAGCATTCTCGATGACCCAATCGTCTGGTTCGGTTTTGATGTCGTCCCGCCCCGAAGACAGTCTCTTGCGTTTCTTTTTCCCGCTGCCCTCCTCTTTGACGCGCTTCTTGGGACGATCCTCAAGCACCAGATGCTGGTACTCCTCGACTATGTAGTTCTCCGGCTCGTAGCTCGTGGTTATCTCGACGCCGACAGACGGATCGACGTCTGGCAGTATGTAGTAATTCTCAAAGTCGCCTTGTAATGTTATCTCGTTCACATCGGCTGTGAAATGTCTCTTCTTTTTCCCCGTACTGCAGTGTTTGATGTAAGCGTATTTATTCTTCGTTTCCTCCGGTATTATATTCACGATCCACTCCTGGTTCCCCGAAGAAGGTATCTCTTTGACTTCCTCCATCGATATCTCTTGTTCTTCGGCTATTTCGTATATAAAGTTCTCCGGTATGGCGTTTTCGTCCATTATCTGTAGCACTTCGCTGGCCGGCTGATCGGCTGAAGTCGATGTTTGTGGTATTATCTGTAAACAAGGCAATGTCAATGTCAGTTTAGTCATTGTGTACATTTTCCTATTCGAGAATATGGAGGGTAGAAGTAAGGAGCATCATCTTGTATAGGGGACAAGTTGAAAAAGTGTTCACCTGTAAACAGAGTTATTGTTGGGAAACGCACCGAAATAGCGCTAGTGTAGGAAGTGGAAATGATGTGAATATAGCTGTTTTAAGCGGAGTGAAGGGTGCTGAGTTGAAAAATTTAATATTTTTCTTGAATTGTGTTGTTAAAAAGTATAGAAAAGTCTCAACTATTCAGTTTTATTACTATTTACCTAGGAAGTGTTTATTTCCTTCTTAATTTAGCACTTTACTCTATGTTTGGTTTATGGTGCCGTTTTTTAAATCTTTCCACTTGCTACAGTGGCGCCACAATGATTGGCTCCCTTACAGCGGAAACTTTTTAATACACTGAGCTGGTGCTCCTTACTTCTACCCTTCTTAACCGGGAATTAGCAGTGTCACAGATTACACAACAGACGCAGACGCAATGTTTAGAGCGCCATCTATTGGTGAAAAAACGTATGAAATCGAAGCTTTAAGACCTCGTGAGATAGTGTGAAATAAATCCGTAGGGTGGTCTTTTGAGAATAAGCAGTGTGGATTCTACAGGCTTGCGAAGTTGGAACATCTCGTTATCTCTCTCACACGCACGTCAATACAGGCGACCGTACTTTTAGATATTTGACAAGCAGGTCACCGCTTAAAAATATTTCAAATATTTTCTCACTTTTCTCACCTCTATGGTCTGCTTGGAGTCTTGCATTTTGGTGATGACTTGTTCCGACTGGGTTATCGACGCCTCAGCCTTGTCAGTTTCCACCTTCACGACCCAAAGCTGTTTCCTTTGGAGATTCTTCAGGGACCTGAGTTCCATAGAAATACACTTTAATGTGAGTTAGTGGTCACCCAGCGGTCGAAATTTGACCTTTTTTTTTTATGGAAATCGGTGTAAAAATATATGACTTTAATTATGTGGGAAGATATTTTTATAATTGTTACAATGTAATAAATAATAATGTTTATAAACTCTAACAATATCAACTCTAACAATGAACCTAAAACCAACAACCTTACTAAATAATAATAATAATTTAATAACGAAAAAATATTATTAAAAGGAATCCCTTTAGGCAAGGTTCCCCTTTTGAATAGTTAAAGTTTGAACATTGTTATTGTTTTATTATTAAATACTTCTATAATCACAGATTTCGCCAAAGCTACAATAAAGACAAATATGTAATATTAAAGACAAACAATATTAATCTATTCTCAATTTGACCACAGACTTTTAACAATAAACAAAAGAATATATGTGCGTGTGTGTGTGTCAAATACATGGTACGGTGCGCAATGTTTTATTTATTTATTGATTTTTTAAGTATATGCATAATTAAAAAAAAAATGGGTCCGGTGCTCCTTCTCTATATTCTTTATAAATGTGGAAATTTTCATACTCCTCCGTTCGCGCAATGCTGGTATCAACTAAGGTTAGCATCAAACCTCTTTTTGTGGATGTCATTAAGGCAATTAAAAGTCATCAGAATATGGGCAGCAGCGTTCTCTGGATAATGTATATGAGTACAGCGGTCACTAATTCTAATTTAAGGTTGACCAGGCGTTTCAAGCTACCAAATTCCTGCCTATTTCTGCCTCTAATCCTCACGAGTCGCACTCTGTCTGAGGGTCGTGACTATCTGTTCCCATTATTTTTCCCTGGATGATGTTTCGCCATCTTCCTCTGTTCTCGGCGGTGTCTATGGCATCGTAGACTATGGTATCCAGAGTGGTGCTGATTTGGTTGGACCAGCGCATTGGCTTGCGGTCACGAGATATTTTGCCAGCAATCTTACCAGTTACCATCAATTTCTGGCAATGTGACCATAGACTATCCGTTATACGGTACTTTTGTTATTGCTTAAATGGGTGGACGAGCTCACAGCCCACCTGGTGTTAAGTAGTCACTGGAGCCCATAGACATCTACAACGTAAATGCTCAACCCACCTTGAGGTATAAGTTCTTAGGTCTCAATATAGTTACAACGGCTGTCCTACCCTTCAAACCAAAACGCATGACTGCTTCACGGCAGAAATAGGCGGGGCGGTGGTACCTATCCGTGCGGACTCACAAGAGGTCCTACCACCAGTAAGCTTGAACATACAAGTACATAAACATGAAACTTCTTTCTCGTTTCTCTCAGGATAAGACAAATATAATAGAATCAACTCACAGGTATCCTAACGTGTCGACGAGTTGTCTCACGTTAAGTCGAGATATGTTATCAGGGTTCTCCTTGTTCTGGGGCTCGACGCTGTAATTGTGGTCCATTCGAACGATTTCAGCGACTGTGGACAAACAATAGCTCGTATCAACCGAGAATCTCATACATGCATACAATCTCATACGTTTTCATACATATCGAGGAGTTTCACGTCATTACGGATCCTCCCGATCCACTAGCGGTGCTTTTAGGTACCACAAGCACCGGTCATCGTTCTCGTCGAACCCGTCGCTTGCGACGAAGGGCTCGGCGAGTAAATTAACCCACAGACACAGCCCAATGAGTTTCTCGCCGGTTCTTTTCAGTGGATCGCGTTTCTGATTCGGTACTAGAATCTGCAAAGCACTGCCCTTGCTTGGGCCAGTGCTAGCAACGTTTTCAGGTTAGTGCCCCGTGAGCTCACCTACTTGTTCTGCGAATCTAGCACAACCCCTCGAGCTTAATTGAATAGGTCAAAAAAAATAATTTTAATTTACATTTTCGACCATACGTGTGACCACAGAGAATAAGTATTCGCTAAATGCTGCATTTCAATTAGAAGAAACTATGGTATATGCTTCGCGACACAAATTAGTATGAGCAAAGTTATTTATTTATTTGATCTGGAAGATCTCTCAAGTTTGATCTTTGCCTTTTCATTGTAGATCTGGTTGAGAAAGCGGTTGGTGGCAGTCGTGCGGTCCACGCCACCCATGACCCAACGAAAAGTCACATGTGTTCGCGATCCTCAGAAGTGAGGGAACGATGAAGAAAAAGAGGTGTCGCGTAGATAGGGCCATCTATCGCACAGGAGGTGCAGTCACTGTGGTGAAACTCGCGGGTAATCATCGTTGCAAATGGCATAAAATTATCCTGAGTTCAGCGAGCCGCCTTAGATACTGATAGTTGTTATTTAATGAAAACCAGTCCACAAAGTTTCGCGCCGTATCTTCTCAGCGGGTCGCGATTCCGATCCGGCGGTAGATTCAGCAAAGCACTGCTCTTGCTAGGGCTAGTGTTAGCAAATTCACTCAAGTTGAGCCCGTGAGCTCACCTACCCGCGTGTAATTGGAATAGCCTCTTAGGCTACTAGCAAATGGATAGAGGAAAAAAAATGAGTAACAGTATCATTTTAGAATAGAAAAGACTTGTTTTTTTTTGTTTCTTGATAATTATTAAGCCCTCGCCCGCAAAACTATTCACGTAAGACAATATCTCAGCCTAATAACGACGGTAATGTAGCTATCTTTCTGCAAATATAGCTCATAATGTTATTATAACAGATGGATTTGTGGTCTGCTGTTTAGTATCAACGCCTACTGGCCTTAGAATCGTATTTTAGTTTATAAGGTACAAGCTGAGAGTACCTTTCGGCAATTTCATGGCGAATTTCTCGAATAACGATTGAAATCCAGTTCCGGATCGGTACGCCGACCCTGCAACCACCAATAAGCAATGTGAGACCGATTTTTTTTTATATAATTATATCTATCTGATTCGAAATATTTCCGTATTTACGTCGCAACGCAGCCGTGGATTCAATTTTGAAGATTAAACAATAATCTTGATTGTAATTTGACATTATTGAGTATTTTTTTTCTTTTTTTTCACTACCTATTCTAGTAGCCTTGAGGGGTTATTCTAAATTCGCTGAGCAAGTAGATGAGCTTACGGGGCTCAAACCTGACGACGTTGCTAACACGAACCCTAGTAAGAGCCGTGCTTTGCAGAATCTACAACCGGATAGGAAACGCGACCCGCTGAGAAGATCCGGCGAGAAACTCAGTGGGCTGTGTCTGTGGTTTAATTTACTCGTCGAGCCCTTCGTCGCAAGCGACGGGGTTTGAATTAACATCCTCATCCATCATCGTTTTTATATTTAAAGGTCGGCTTTGCCAATGTCAGTGGTACGTCAATGTGTAATACCATAATGACAGCTGTCAAATTTGAAGCCGAAAAGCCGAATGGTTATGCGTAAATACTTTTATAACACGGAACCAATCCACCGCGTTACAGGGGGTATATTACCGTATTGTTTTTCGAAATACCCACGCGACGTGAACACGATTAAAGTTGATTTTACGAAATTCCTTCGCGACAAATAAAACTCAAGTTTTACATACGTGTTTATTCTCAATAATAATCGATGGAGGATGTTTTAAAATTTTCAGATGTTGCATTTATTTTTACCAAAGTTTAATGTTCGATTTTAATTACACACATACAGAAGAAGCACTTTCTTTAATTTATATAGATTGTAAAGTTTGTTGGGTTAATTAATTGGTAAATAAAGTCTAATGTTTGAATGTAGTTTTTATTTTATCCCCAAAAATGTTAGGCGGTCCGGCAGTAGGGAACTTTCCCCTACTATTTTGACGTCTTAAGTTATTTATAATCCTTTGAGGGCGAACCGTCGATATATCGACTCTCTGTTAATGCGTATTGTGCGATCCTAAGTATTAGCGCACGCACGTATAACCACTAAATTATTTTCTTGAAGTTTAGCATTGCTTTTTGAATATTTTTAAGTTTTTGCTTTTATGAAATACATTATTTCAAAAATCCCTTAACAATTTATGAAAAATATGTTAAAAAAAGCTCACCACTAAAAGGATCAATTAAGACACAAAATAATTAGAGGGTACACGAAAAAAATAAGATATTAAAATAGAATTTCGTAAATAGGTTATTTTATTTATTGCCCTTTTAGGCTGACGAGCTCACGGCCCACCTAATGGTGAGTCGTTACCGTCTCCCATGGACTTCAGCAATGCCAGGGGCAGAGCTCAGCCGGTGCCTACCAAAAGAAAATCAAGTTTTTTTTAAAAGTTTTTAGAAAATCTCGCTTATAGAATCTTCGCTTTTTGGCGGGTCGTAGAGACGTAATTAAAATTACTTTTGAGATTTATTACAATGATATAAACGTTTAATATAACTGACGACAACGACGCATACTGGTGGTAGGACCACTTGTGAGTCCGCGCGGGTAGGTACCACCGCCCTGTCTATTTCTGCCGTGAAGCAGTAATGCGTTTCGGTTTGAAGGGTGGGGCAGCCGTTGTAACTATACTAAGACTTTAGAACTTGTATCTCAAGTTGGGTGGCGCGTCTACGTTGTAGATGTCTATGGGTTCCAGTAACCACTTAATAATACCAGGTGGGCTGTGAACTCGTCCACCCATCCAAGCAATAAAAAAAAAAGCATTCGAAGCGTCAGAAATAATAAATACGAAATGTAATCGTAATAAGAATTTTATTATCGTATCGAATAAGGATTTTATACAGCAAGCATTGTTTTCAGCGAAAGTCTTATACGAATTTAATTATATGTTTTCTTTTGTATTTCAACTGGTTAATCTTATTAAGTGATATTATGTGTACTTTGACATAAACTTTATAGTTTACTAAAAGTGTCTTTCACGTCTGAAAGCAAACAAATGACCGAGTACACTTAGTGATGTCCACGGACCCACGTAGCCGGGTGGGTCGTTTAATTGAATTAACATTCTCATCCATCATCCTCTATAAAGGTCGGCTTTGCTAATGTCAATAGGACGTCAATGTCAATACCATAATGAAAGCTGTCAAATTTGAAGCTGAAAAGCTTCTTGTGAGTCCGCACGAGTAGATACCACCACCCCGTCTATTTCTGCCGCGAAGCAGTAATGCGTTTCGGTTTGAAGGGCGGGGCAGCCGTTGTGACTATACTGAGACCTTAAAACTTATATCTCAAGGTGGGTGGCGTATTTACGTTGTAGATGTCTATGGGCTCCAGTAACGTGGGCCGTGAGCTCGTCCAATGTCCTAAGCAATAAAAATAAATAAAAATAAAACTTATAGTAGCTTCATGTTTCGTGAAGCCGCAATGTAATCATAAGTTGACTCGCTTTGTTACGCGATGCCGTTGAACCTATATTTAAAGTTGTGCTACACATTGCGTGCCCAAAAAAATATAAAAATATAAAGAAGAAGATAATTTTTATATTGGATTTTCTGTTTTATCGTAACACGAGACCATTGTTTCCTTATCCTGATTAGTTCTAGGACACATTTTGCTCTCTCAACTACCTACGGCATAAACAAAAGCACCAGCAACCGAAGCTATTGCGTTTCTTTTTTCCTGCCTATGCTGATAGCCTTGAGAGGCTATTTCAGCTTTACCCTAGCATGTAGATGAGCTCACAGGACTCAAACCAGAAGTGTTGCAAACATTGGCCCTAGCAAGAGCAGTGCTTCGCAGAATCTACCACCGGATCGGAATCGCGACCCACTGAGAAGATCCGGCGAGAAACTCAGCGAGCTGATGCATAGGTTAGGTTACATGTGGAACTCTTTGTCCAGTTCTATTAGTACGGTTACCGTGGTCCCTAAGCCTGCTCCTAGTCTTAAGAGGTGAAAGCGTCTAATGCAAAGTTTATTGGATCTGATGGATCCGTAAGGACGTGGATGTAATAGTCTGGCTTGGCAAGCTGTATAGCAAACCAGCACGGATAGAGACCACGATCCTATCTATTTATGCCATGAAGCAGCCATATGTCTGGTTTGAAAGCTGGACCTTATCAGTAGTTCTTAGTAATCAGTGAAGATGTAGTAAAATTTAAACCAACCGCACTGTTTAATAACATACAGGGAGCATAGAGTAGGGGAAGAGAGTGAAGATATAGGTCCTGATGGTACGGACAGGTGCCACCACACTGCCTACCTTTGCCGTGAAGCAGTAATGCGTTTCGGTTTGAAGGGTGAGGCAGCCGTTGTACTGTAAAAACTAACACACAGAGCTCGTGATAGCCGACGGAATTGACATGGTTGATGTCTATAGGTTCTGGTTACCACTTAACACCAGGAGGACCGTGAATTTGGCCACCCATCTTAGTAAAAAAAACCTACGAGAGATCATTTTGTAAAACACTTGATTCATGTTCAAACGTTCCTCAATTAAGACTTACTCATGTGTTTTCACTAACCATTATACTCTGAACAAGGATGCGAACAATTCTCGTATGGTGTTTATAATCAAATTCTTTGTCAGCAGTAATTGGCATTGGCATGGCAACTGTGACTGACAAGACTGGCTCCAAGTATACTTCAGTGTCTGATAGTTTAAAAAGTCCTCCTGAGAGCATATTATACAAATCAATACTCACTTCTAGTGTCTTCAGCTGACGGTGTCAATGCTGGTGGTTTTTCTTGCACGGTCAAGAGTTCGGGTAGCATCGGGGAGTCAATCCATAGTCCCTGGTTGTCCAGCTCAAAATGGTATCTAAATAAACCAATATAATATTGTAAGCATTAATTTTAATTCAAGAGACACAATTGTGAGGGTGAGTTGTGTTGACGCAATCCCTGAGGGAAAAATTTAAAGAAATGAAAGTTCTCACTATGCCATCCCAGTACATTTTTGAAAATTTGATGTATGTTCGTAAACATATTGAGGAGTTTCCTAAAAAGTCGGACATACATAATAGAAATACTAGGAACAAACACAAGCTTGTTGTGCCGATGAGTAGGTTACATAAGATACGAAATTCATTCGGGTGTTTGTCTGTGCGCCTGTACAACAAAATCCCACAAGATGTTCAGAACCTACATATACATAGGTTTAAGAAAACTATTAAAGAACATCTGTGCAATAAAGCTTACTATAAAGTCAATGATTATCTAGAAGATTGCACAAAGTGGGAATGAGTTGCTCGCTCCGGGCATTTCAATATTGTAGTAATTGTTACGTTATAATCGTCATTGTAAAAAAATTTAATAAAAATAATAATAATCTAATATTAAAAAATTAATAAATAATAAATTATTATTTAAAAATCGGTGTCTTGTTTAAAGATATTGCAGACCAAATAACTTAAATACCTTATCATCTGAAGGGTACCTACTCCCTGAGGTTGTCAACAGCCTGACAAGAATTCCCACTGAAACGCCTTGGTCATAACAAAAAACAACACAACATTTAATATTAGGTAACTGAGGAAGAGCTCGTATTTACAAGGCAATCTTTTAAAGTTCAACAGACAAATTAACTATCTATTTGACATCATTAGTATCACAATTTGCCACAAAAACAATCTACTGTGTTGATGTACAGATCCAATTTAAGATATTCAAGTGAACATACCCACACAGCTGTAAGCTGACATGCCTCCAGAGACATTCGCTTTGCTCGTGCATAGCACCATCAATCCATTCCTGCCGTTGGAGTTCATTGTCCGATGTCACATTGGCACTGAAACGGTGATTAAAATCATTTATTTTCCTGTTATAATCACCGAAGTTAACAAGTTGCCATCGGTGGAGTGTACTATGATACCATTAGGGACAATTATCCTACTCTATTCTCTAACATATTATGTCATATCTTTTACATATTATGTCGCTTTCAATGGTGATGTAACTATTATACAATAAAATACAAAAAAGGATATTAATTATCCCATGTTACACGGTAAGTGCACTCAGTTTTTCTACAAATGGAATACCACTCAACATAAGATGGGCCATCAGCGTGATATCTAGACAGATAAATGGCTACCATAGGGATGTAATTGAGGATTTCTTAAGATATTTCTATGTGAAAAATTAGTAACAAATTAGATTTAAATAGTTTTCACTGAATTTAGATATAAATTAAATTCATACAAGTGCAAGTAAACAAAATAGAAATGGATAATTTGATTCATTCCTAACCCTGAAGACTGTAATCAAAAATAAAGCATGTAAAAATGGAAATAGGACAAATGTAATTGAATACAGCATTTAAAAACAATTCCAATAAGGTCTTATTTGTTATCTTTGGTATACATACATACACATTAAATTTCCTCATTGTATTTTTTTCTATATATTTTTCTATTATAGTATGTTTATGGAATTTGTTGCTATTAGTGCAAGTCTTTTATTTTACATGTATGAATGTATTTTGTATTCTTTGCAGGCTCTGGACCTTTGCAATGCATACATACTTATAGTACTTTAGAAGTTTCCTGTTTTAATCCCATGGGTATTTATCACATTTTTTGGGTTCTTTCAGGCTAGGTTTGACAAAATACATATGCAATATCCAATTGTCAGCAGTATAAGGAGGTTTTTCCAATTTAAAGTTTAACTGATATTAGCTATGCTTTTTGTTTCAATTGCAAAAGTCCTCTGGCGTTTTACCTAAACCTCTTGCTAGAACTGTGCTCCTGACAATCACAATGAATATTCCGTAACTCATCTTACCTATACCTTCATTATATCCTATATATGCAAATTATATTTCATGCAGAATCAATTTTTTCTCCCTCTTCTTTTTCTTCACCTTATCTCACTAGGTGGGGTCGGTACAGCTAATTTTTCTCTTCCATTCTCTTTTATCAGCCGTCATCTCGACACTCACTCCTCTCTTTCTCTCATATCGTCATTCACACACTCCATCCACATCTTCGGTCGAACCTCTTCCCCCTCTACCTTGCACTACCATTTCCATACATCACCTAGTCACATACATCTTCTCTCTACACATCACATGTCCATGCCACGCTAACCGTCCACTCTTTAATTTGTTGCTTACTGGGGCTACTTTCACACTTCCTCTATTTTCAGAAAACAAAATTCATTATGATTTAATAATAAAACTATATTGTTGTTTTTAGGTCCTATGCATATCACATGTTATACAGTTGTGGATAGTAAAGTTCTACAATAGAAAATTGTAGATATGCATCAATATAGTATGTAAAGTAAAATTCACTGAACTATTACATTATGAATGTTGGTTGTTTTCTTTCTTTCTAATAGTAAATATAGCTACAAATGGACACGATTATTGCACAAACAGATAGTTATAAGCTGAATACCAAAAAAAAAATTGTTTCATAATATGATTCTGAGCAATGGTCACTTCTGTTATGTTCTTAATTCTAACTTTTGAGCATTCAGGTGAGGTTGTGTATGATTTGCCTCTCAGAACAAACATTCAATATTTTTGACCAAACTTCAACATAGGGTCTCTTGACTGGAAAATTCATTGATATTAAGATTTAAAGTACACGGCAACTTTTTTCATTTTCTTAAACGTTTACAATGTTTTTTTTTAAATTTATTTCTGGTATAAAAATAGCTCTATAATCATTAACCACTATTTCCTTCAATCAACTGTTATCGTTCCGTTATTTGTAGTAAATACTTAATGTTATCATTATTTTCGACAACTCATTAGAATTTTAATGTCATAATTACAAGTACAAGAATAAATCTTAAATCTTGTAACATTCATAAATTACTGCTTACATACACCAACTCATGTATAGTGATAAGAAAATAGAAACACATATCTGTTTGCCGCCCTTTTTTGTTTAACTTTTGGAGGTCACGCGGCCTACCATATAGTGCCATAGACTAAAGAATCAACCCTCTTAGGTTAAAAATAGCACGTAATTAATAGATATAATCTAAAATTAAGGACTTACTTGTAAAATGAGAAGCTGCAGACCACATCATATTCCAGATTGCAGCCTTCGACAACGCACTTTTGTGCGGTCATGATTAGGTATCAATGGCGCGTCACCAAAATTGTACACGAACAATTCACATCGTAATTGAAGTCCGATTTATATTATAAACACATTTAGCGCGTAAACCAACTTTCAAACAAACTAATTTTGATGGGTCCTTTAGAAATTTATCAATCAAATGTCGTAATGACGTACATGTCACGAAAAGTCGAAAATTTTAGCAAACGCCGTCAAATGTCTGCCATGACATGGGACTTGATGGGTGATGTAATGCGCGGTCAACACGTACTGGCAACATTGCTTAGCTCGGATTCCTTTTTTTCAATATCGATTTTATCAATTGCAGTTAATCGAGTTTCTCAAATTTTATTTTTTAAATAGGACTTGTAAATTAAATTTTATTATAATATTTAACAGATATAAGATATTTTCAACGAAATAAATCCTATGATATTTTCAAAAGGTATTGCGATAAAGATTCGAATTAAAAAAAGGCATTTTAAAATTGAATAATAATTTTTATGTCATCGAGTATTAATAACATAAATCGATAAAACGTGTCCGTAAACTCGGCCTCATTCAAGGGCTACTTCTTAATTTGGAAGCCTTTAAGCAATTTTAACAAGATCTGTGATTTACTTTATCACATTTTATAATGTCTGTGGACCCTAAAACAATCGCTCACATTAAATTTAATCTTATTTGTCCGCTTTAGCATCTGATTACAGTGTTCCATATTTTTTGTTAGATAGAACTGAAATACAAACAGCATTGTTTTTTTCTGTTTTTGTTTCTGTTACTTTCCCTGAGAGAAACGTCAAAATATTTTGTTATAACTGTTCCTAATAACCATTACATCCAAAGTTGCACAATTAATACTACGAAAAAGAAAATTGTATTATCAGTTTTTCATTTCGTTGTTTAAATACTTTGAAATGTGAAAATGAGCTTTAATCAAAATCTACAACTTAAACAAATTTAAAATCGAAATTATTTCTCCAGTATCGATTCTATTATTGCCAGATCATTATTTTTCAAAGACAATAATTATTTGTAATAAAAACTACGTCAGCAGTGAAATATTTCCTAATTTATTCATGCTATATAACTAAATGCATTTAGGTATAGATTATTTTATGGAAACAGAATAATTTATTACTTAATATACCGAAATTAAAATTTAAAATTTTCTATGATACAATTATTGAAGAAAATTATAGTAAGATCACTAACCATAGAGTATCCACGGTTGGAGATGATAAGATAGATATGCAAATTATGGAATTTATGGCTTTAATTTAACACTTGAACTTTATTCGGCTCTATTGGCTTTGTATGAAAATATTCGTAATCATTCGCTGGTTATAACATTTTTATACCGCTGCGGCTTTTTTTTCCTCCCTAAGCTGATGGTCTTAAGAGACAATATCAGCGTCACCGGGCTGGTAGGTAAGCTCACGGGGTTCAAACCTGACGTTGTTGCTAACACGAACCATAGCAAGAGCCGTGCTTCGCAGAATCTACCATCAGATCGGAAACGCGACCCATTAAGAAGATCCAGCGAAAATCTCAGTGGGCTGTGTTTGTGGGTTAATTTACTCGCCGAGCCCTTCGTCATCAAAAATAACATTTTTTATCATTCATTGGCCACGATCTCAGAGCGTTCGTTATGCAAACAACCGTGAATGAAGTGTACCACAATAAGTTCGCGCGTTACCGAATGACCGTGGGTTGTTGCGAAACCTCCAGTTTTATTTTCTTTATACCTCGAATATAACTTAAAGTTAATATTTTTATAATAAGAAACTCCGTTCCTATCCGGTGTCCCATGACACCACACATATTTTTTTGCTTAAATGAGTGGACGCATAGCCCATCTGGTGTTAAGTGGTTAATGGAGCCCATAGATATGTACAAAGTAAATGCGCCACCCACCTTGAGACATAAGTCCTAAGGCTCCTATAGTTACAACGGCTGCCCCACCCTTCAAACCGAAACGCACTACTGCTTCACGGCAGAAATAGACAGGGCAGTGGTACCTACCCGTGCGAATACGACCGAGTAATTACGAAAATTATAATTTTGCGGGTTTAATTTTTATTACACGATTACACGATCCTTCACCGTGGAAGTCAATCGTGAATATTTGTTAAGTACGTATTTCATTAGAATAATTGGTAACCGCTTGTGGGATTCGAACACCGGTGCATCGCTACATACGAATGCACCCGACCTTTTATCCTTTTAGGCCACGACTATTTCCAATAGAGTAACTTACATAGAGTAACTTTGAAAATATCCCTTGGCCCAACCTTGAAAAATGAGTTTGAAGTTTTATAGATGGTTTAGTGATTTAGTGGTTCCAGTATTTAAATTGGAACTCGTCACTGACTCTCTGGACACTACACAGTGTCGTGACATTATCATAATCACAAATACTTAACATGAGAATTTTCCACAAAAATATTTTTCCTACTGTTGGACGGTTAAATTTGAGGGTATTGGGTTCTGTAGGTGAGGGGCTATTTAAAAACACTCTGCTTCATGGTTAATATAATTATATTGCAAGCACTTTGTACACAATTACACCATTATTTATTTTTATAAAAACCCTAAGATGTTTTACTGTCCGTGTCTAGATGAGAAGTCCTAGTCATGGCTGAAAAGACAGTCATCTGTTTTAAACATTTAAATAAGCATTCCAATATTCGAAAACTGTTACTTCACATGTGACAAGTTTGCCTGCCATTACTTACATATTCAAACTCCAACACCTACCATTCGCTGGTACCCTAAGGAGTTATTACAGCTACTCGAGTGTGAGTAGATGAGCTCACGGGCTCAACCGGAGAGAACTTGCTAACACTAACCCTACTAAGAGCAGTGCTTCGCAGAATCGTTTCAAGATTCTCACTGATCGTTTGGAACCTCTGGGTCTGCGGAGGGACTTCAGTACCCTCTGTATTTTATACCGTATGTTCCATGGGGAGTGCTCTGAAGAATCGTTTGAGAGGATACCATCATCTCGTTTTTACCATCGCACCGCCGGCCACCTGATTAGAGTTCATCCATACTACCTGGAGCCACGGCGTTCATTCAGTGTGTTTCCAGAGATCTTTTTTGCCACGCACCATCCGGCTTTGGAATAAGCTCCCATCCACGTGTTTCGCTTGATATGGTCTTCTTCAAACGAGGCTTGTGGAGAGTATTATACGGTAGGCAACGGCTTGGCTCTACCCCTGTCATTGCTGACGTCCATGGGTGACGGGAACCATTCACCATTAAGTGGACCGTGTGCTAGTCTGCCTGGACAATAAAAAAAAAAGAATCTACTACCGGATCCGAATCGCGACCTGCTAAGAAGATCCGGCGAGAAACTCAGTGGACTGTGTCTGTGGCTTAGGTAGTTCGCTCATGGAACTCGCCGATTAAGACAATGAGTTCACAACATCAAAACGTTTGCATACGTTTGCCGCTAGGGGCGCTGTTCCAACTGCATACAAAATTGGGTTAACGTTTACGCTATCGAGAACGTTAAAAAACTCGCACTAAGAACACTAATATGTCGGCCTACAGACATCCATTGTTGGTCTGTGCCAAGGTTGTTAGTCGCAGCCAGCAACCGTCGGATTCCCGTGACCTTCAACAGGTCATCAGTCCACCTCGTGGAATTTCCGCCCAGACACGGTGTCCGCGCGATAGCTTCGTTTAACCTCAAAACTACATTGAAACGTCCCTTTAAATCTCTAATAATCTTGTGTTTGTTTTTCCATCTTTCAAGTCGAAACGAAGCTACGAATTGATATGATTTTGCAAACCATTGATTTGATTCTGCCGTGAAGCAGTAATGCATTCGGTTTGAAGGGTGGGGCAGCCGTTGTAACTATTCTTGAGACTTTAGAACTTATATCTCAAGATGGGTGGCGGCATTTACGTTGTAGATGTCTATGGGCTCCGGTAACGACTTAGCATCAGGTGGGGAGTGAGCTCGTCCACCCATCTAAGCAATAACAAGAAAGAAAAGGAAACAGCGTTTTGCGTTGGATTTTCTCAGCGGGCCGCGATTCTGATCCGGTAGTAGATTCTGCGAAGCACTACTCTTGCTAGGGCTAGTGTTAGGAAACTCTCTCAGGTTGAGCCCGTGAGCTCACCTACCGGTCCGCGCGTACTTGGAATTGCCGCCATATTTTTTTGAAAGCGATAGTGTTAGGTAAGGAAAATAATACAGCTGATTACCTTGTATCCTCAACAACTCATTCGCGCGGGAAGCTACATTGACATTTTTCATTGAACGTTAGATCCTAAAACCGTCTTCAAAACTATTACACTAAAAACTTCAAGGAAACAATTGATAAATAAAAATCCTTTTATCCTTTTTTTATTATTAATTTATTTATCAATATAATATTATGTGTATAATGTATAACTTACAGCCTTAGGGAGCATCTAACACGACGGAACAAAAATGCCTTTGTTGTTTAAACTTTCTCAAATGTAGAAATAATGAAGAAAAAAAAAATAAAGAAGAAAACACACCGTCGCGACCGACACAAGCAAGCAATATTTATAATTTCTTAATTATATTTATTATTAAACCGCGCTAACACCTAACATATTGACTAAAAAAAAAACAAAGCATTTTTTTTATTTATTTATATATATATATTTTTTCTCATTTTGTCCTATATTACAACAACCAAATTTGTCGAATTTCCACGCCACGAATGAAGATAATTAATGATCAAATGACTCTTCAATTTCTCTATTACTTAGGTAGCCCAGTCACGGAAATTATCATACCGTAGACAAAAAAAAACTTAAATATACAATCACTTACAATCTAATTTTAGCAACATTTTTTTTTGTATATTTTTCATTTATACATTAAACCTACGGTCGTTTTTTTTTCTCTATTTTCCATACAGCTCATTGTCTCCTGCTTTGGCGTACTAACTATTAAAAAAAATTGCAACAATAGACAAAAATAGTAAATACAAAAAAAAAAACTTAACAATCTTATATCCTCGCCACTTCGTCACGTCACTATCAAATGGTGTCGCATTTTTATAACAATTCGATTTAGGCCAAAGAGATCATCCGACGTTATCATTGAACGATTTTCAAAATTAAATCGATTTTTTTTTCAAATACTAATACAGCTTTTACGTTTACTATCCGAATGTGATAAATTCAGTCGGATCCGCGAAACACATGATTATCATTTTTCTTTTCTTTTTATGAAAATGCGACCCAAATTCGAATTAGCCATCGATCGCTTCTGCAAAAAAAACAATTACATTCTTTCGTTTCACCGGCAACACTCGTGCATCTAAACTACACAATTTTTACTAGGGACGGCTAATAACTTACAAAAAGAAAAAGAAAGAAAAAAACTAAACTCGACACGGAAATCAACATTTTCAGTCGGAACAATAGAAGAAAACCTCAAGACGTACCGTAAAAAAAAACTGCATCTAACTTGACAGTTACCTGTCAAGTCAGATGCGTTTTTTTTTTCAATTGCGAATTTAACAGGAAAGCAAAATCAAAATTCCCTGACGTAATACTATAAACATATTTTTTTGCACATTAAAATAATACACGTCTCTCAGATTACATACAGGATTAGATCAAATTAAATAGGTTATCGTCCAACTTTGTTGTGAAGTACAGGGTCGCTGTCCGAATTTCAAAAAGACACGCGTCAAATCTGACAGCTGTCAAATGCGCTACATTACATATTTATTATTTGGTCGCGTGCCCCTTTCAAACCCGTTCAACCTGAATCGTTGTGGTGTGGGCCTCAGGAATCACAACAAAATACATATTATCATAGGAACTATTTATTTATTTTATTTATTTATTACCTTAAGAAGCGATCCAAGCATCCAAGACGTTGTCTTATTACTAAGTTTTATTAATAAAAAAAGAAAAGAAGATACGTTACGATTTGTTCTTTTTGTGTAGTACAAATCGCTCTGACGTTTCAGGCAAGCATTTAACGTTGAACGTTAACTTATCTCGCAAAAGGAAACCAGCTTTTATTATAAGCGTGGCTCCGGGCTTTCGACTTTTGACCGTACCCGAGTTTGGCCCAAAAGCCATGTGGTTCGAGGCCTCGATCTCACAGCTTCAGCGTGCTCTATATAGAGAGGTAAACCAAGACAGACTTGTACTACAAAAAAAATAATAGCAACGAAATAAAGCGCGCTTAAAATTAATAATTAAAAACTATTTTAAACGAACCGACACACACAAGTTAAAACTCGTTCACTATTTAACTATTTATAAGATATAATGAAATATACAAATTAGGTTTTACATTCTTGTTTATTCTTTCACAACGCACTGCGAAAGGGACCGTGCGAGAGAGAATTCACATAGCTCAAACCAGAAACCGTTTAAAATTCGAATAAGCACGCTTTTTTTTTTCGTTGTTTACATTTCGTTAAGACTTTTTATAAACAACGAATATGCTAGTTACGAGGTACACGCTAAAAGCTTTTAAGCTGATCGCAGACCAAGAGCTATTTTAGTTTAGCGTTCGATTTGCTAACGATAAACTAAACTTAATCTGTAGACGACCGCTTTGGCGATGGCTTGGTGGAGCACGTAATAATTCGCTACTTTAGTTATAGGTTAGCTATTTATCTTCAACCGGCTTAACGTAATCTCTATTAGGCGATTATACGACTTATTTAATGTGCACTAGAGTCGAAACAGGCTTTTATATTAAGCTTACATTGTGTCGTTTTAGCGCGCGAAACGCCCGACCACATTTCAGTTATGCCCAAGCTCATGTTATATTTCAAAATAATAGAAAGAAAAAACTTCAACCACCATCCGTACGGCCCTAATAGACGTGTACACTAAAAACAATATACTTAAAACGATCTAATGCCAGTTTGAATGAATTCATATTGACAAGATAACGTCTTGAAAATCAATGATGACCGGCTACACGCACGAAAAAGTGTCACGTTCCGTCTAAGCCTGAGCGTGCAAGCGAGAGCGCGGAACACGCGATAGAGAGGCACGATCGGCCCAAGCGTTGGCTTGTGACACATTTATCTCTTCTCGCGTGACGTCAGAGCTAGCAGTTCGAATAGTTCCGCTACTGACGTTATCACGTAAAACTATCGTCCGTAAACCGACTCTACTGACAATCAGTTTGTTTTTTGTGAACGCCAAACTTTGAGCTATACAAAATTCAACGCGGCGAACATTACACGCCCCTATATGCCATTTGATCTGCAAATAATAGAAGCAATCCGTTTTCGCAGTGCGATAGTCAAATATAAAGTATTATTAAAATTATGATATCAAATCTTTGAGCAAAGTTAGTAACTTCGATGCGTCATTTGAACGCAGTCCAAAGAAGACAAACAAAAAACCGAACGAAATAAACGCGATTTTTTTTTCCTTAACGTTTAAAATAAGACTTAACGTCTCATCCCTATTAAGTGTTCTCATCACTACTGCTGCTACTATTTCAATGTTAGGATGCTAGTATGGAGGGTAGGAGTAAGGAGTACCAGCTCAGTGTATTAAACAGTGTTAGCTGAATTGGAGCCAATTAAGGTGGCGCCACTGTAGCAAGTGGAAGGATTTAAAAAACGTCACCATAAACTTCAATCTGTTTAAAACTGCTATATTCACATCAATTCCACTTCCTACACTAGCACTATTTCGGTGAGTCTTCCAACAATAACTTGCTGTTTACAGGTGGATACTAGTTTAACTTGTCCCCTATACAAGATGGCGCACCTTACTTCTACCCTCCATACAGACAAGTTCCGGCAATTGGCCGCACACGCACTACGCGCCCGGTATCTCTCGGAATCCACCATTTTATTTTCTCAATCAATTTTTGTTTGTATGTCCATTGTTATAACGGTCAAAATATATTTTTTGGAATACCCTCTCATTTTTTTTAATGTCCGTATCCATCTTTCCGTATACATGCAAAGGGATAGAGTACACTTAAAGAAAAAACAAACCTTGCAACTGTCTTAATAAATAAAAAAACTAATTATTAAAACGTCACGTCGTATATATCCATCTCTTTCGTTCTAGTCGCAGTCCTGGTGAACTTTAAAGTGTGACAGCGACAGACTGTGAATCTTGGCTTCGTTTACGTGTAGAATATTAATTTTATATGTATTCGATAAATGTCGCAATGCAGATAAGATTAATTAGAAAGATTATACATCTAAATATTTGTCTATACATCACCCGATATAGTCCATAGGACGAAACATATACTAAGAAAAGAAAAAAAAGAATCGTTCCTATTCACCTCCTATACCACATTTTAATTCGATAAACTTATTCGATTCGTCGTTTGTTTATCGAAGCGAACTCCAGCGGCAGTTCCGTGTTATCGCGGTCCATAGGTCCCCGTCATAGATCAAAGAATTAAAAAAAAATTATATATATTTTATATAGATGTGGGCTATACATTTTTAATAGACTATCGAAAAAGCAAGAAAGTTAATCTCATTTTATATTTTAATTGGCGTTTAATGAATCTGTCGAAAAACTTCAAACTTAGACATGTCAACAAAAAAATCTTTTTAAATCACACGTCAATACACATTCCATTTGCTAACCAAAAAAAAAAACGATATTAAAAAAATAAGAAAACATGTCTGTCGTGCGTCAAACAAAGTGATAGAGCCCCGGCAGATAGAACACCGATTGTGTAAATTGATAAAAGCAAACGGATCGCGTGTGGCTGACGGCAGCTAATTCCCTTTGCTATTAAAAAAAAACAAAGGAGGCCATATTATCGTCCCCCTGTCAAATCAAAGATGGCTCCGTCCTCAGCGCGCTACCGCCATAATTCAATTCAGTTTCACATCTCCCAAGAATCATCGCTATCATAACGACTAGACGTAATTCCCCTATTTATTTATATAACTACTAATTATAATTTTTTTAACTTTATCGTCTCACAATGCCAGTCTTACGATGAAGTGTGTTCAGTGAAGAAAACTTACTACAGTTACAGTTCAAGGTTGTATGAACATTACATTATAACACACTGAGCTACCGTTCTCACTCGCACACGTTAGAACGAGGCAAGAGCGAGCGAGATGAAAAACGAAAACTCAATCAACTAATCTGTGAGCATCGATATTTCGGACCACAGATTAAAAATTCTCCTCACTGAACTTTAAATCCGCCGACACAAATCGCTTCCAAACTATACACATCTAAGTTACCGTTTAATTATGTATCTATATATATAATTATATATATATATATGTACGTGGGCTCTAAAAGAACCGCTTCCGAGAACGAAGACAGACATGCTAGTGAACAGGATCACTTAAATTCGACATATTTTATTCAAATCGCAATGTGATATAAAATAATGTCTTTATAAAAACCATTGATGCGCGGGGTGAACGACCTAGCTAGAAGACGCCTTCTTTCGAAACTCTAAAAGCAGAATGACATATGTCAAGACGATAGTAATCCGAAAATGAACCTAATGCTCATTGGTCATTGTCTCATAATGAACATAACGCTGCTAAAGGAAAAAAAAACATGGCCGACATAGGTCAGCTGTTTCGTTATTGATATGCCTTGACAACTGTGAACATCAAATATGGCCGTTCTAAATCCGCAAACGATTCTCTTACAGCCTGCATACGATTTTTAAACAAATGATTTAGTTCCCTGCAACCTCAAAACGTATTTATGACGTCATAGCGAACAGTTATTAAAAAAACACGAGGGTCTGATTTTATTTATGTAAACAATGGATATTTCATTACGTAAGAGCCACCAAGTAAAAACTGGATATACTGGTAGCCCAAGAGCCTACTTCATCAATATTGAGAAAAATCAAATGTACCGTTGCCATAAAAATTGAAAAATTAAAATGTGTATCCGTAATTTGTATCTTCGCTTTAGGGTTGCAGAGACATCAATTTTACGTGTTCATGAAACATTTTTTTTTATATATATGTGGAATTAGACACGGATTATTTAATTAGATTAATTAATACACGTTTATTTACAAAACGAATCGATATATCACTACAGAGATACAATATAATATAATATTATGAAAAATCTTCAAAATAAAGCACCAGATTATTAGTGTTGCTATGGTTGAAAAATAATCAAACAATGTTGCCGATGCTTGAAAAATGAAACATTAAAAAATTTGGTCTCCAACATGTTCAGATTTCATGTGATTTCATAATTTACCCTGTGTAATCAAGGAGACGTCTCTATAGATGGTAAGCTCATCGTTTTGAGTCTGTCTCCGTACGCCAAACACGGAACGACTGTGCGTCCCTTGAGGCAGAAGAATACGTGCCGAATCGCTATTCAGAATCACATGCCATTTGAAGGAACCGAAACCAAACTAATCAATTTTTGTTTAATATTTTTTACATGTCAAGAATATATTTTTAGATATAACATTTCAATACATACACATATACGAAAGGTCACTATTACTAAGATTATCTCATTAGAAAAAAAAAAACAAACTAATTAGTTCCAATTGAAACTCTCAAAATTAAATCTCCATTATTTGTCACGTCTTAAGAGAACCATAAGGAACGACTTTCCTTTGAAAGCTTCAACTGGAATCGATACATACAAGCGTCTTCAGAATTAACACTTTTTCATATACATACAACGTACGGAATGTGCTTAAAATGAATTGAATCTTTAAGAAATATACAAGGAACCATAGGGAAATGAATAGGTATAATATAAAAATCTGGGATACATTTCAATAGATAATTTAATAGAAGAGGTACACATTCATTACAGATTGAGTGAGAATTATAGCAGCGGTTCAGTACAGACCCGTCAGTATCAGAACATTAGTGTGATTAATGCAATTTATATTCAACTGAAAAACTTCCATTGGTGGATCTTAAAGATTCACCTAGCACATTCCGCCTTTACATACTTATTATATACTAGACGAAAGCTATTTTATATCCCTCTGTATTATAATAAGGTATTTGTTGTACACGCCACTGCTCAGCATTGCTTATTGTCTTAGCTAAAAGCTGAAACAATTGAGAAATACGATTGATTATGATTGTGGTTGACCGAAGCTAATGTATAACTAGCTGTAAGGATCCGTTCACACAGACCGGCTCGGAGAGGAGAACAGATTTTTATCACGTTGGAAACAGTGTGCACTTGAACTTGAACGCGCTACGTGTGAAATAATATGAGATGCCAACCGGGCTCTGATTGTGATTGCGAGCGCATCCGCTTTCAGATCTCTTTCAGCCGGTCAATGTGAAATAGTTGGCGGCTCTGCTCCAGCCAGTTCTAAACGTATACGATCCGGTCTGTGTGAAAAGAAAAAAGCGAGCCGATACTCTCCGAACTGTCTGTGTGAACGGCCCTAAAATAGATGTTCCAGTTCCACTGCCTTCATCAATATGACCAGTATACCACATATTTAGAATTGCGTTTCGTTTTGAAAGATGAAACAGTCCTTATACAATAAAACTGAGACTTAAAACTCATGTATCGAGATGGATGACGACATTTCCGTTGTTGATGTTTATGCGCTTTGGTAACCACTTAACACCAGGTGAGCTGTGAGCTCGTCTAACCATCTAAGCAATTAAAACATAGGATATTCTCAAATGTCCATCATCATTTGTCTTTGTAGTGAAACACACGCCAGTTGGTTTAATACTGATTTATTTTTAAGGACACCCTCACTACGTCATTATAAATATACTACATCTTCCTTTAACAAGAAAAAAAAAGAAAAAAAATTACAAGTTACAGTACAAAAAAAATATTTTTTAAGCTTATTTACTTTACTTATTTACATTATTATCTATTGTTTATACTAATAATNCTCGTAACCGGCCGATCCTATGAGATTCACCAACAAACTAGCCTGAACTTCTTTAGGCTCTTTGCTCACTCCAGACGCTTTAAGAAATACTTCGAACAGCTTCCGCCACTGTCGCCACGCCTCTGAGCGTGCAGCCGGACCGCCATCGAGTGATAATTCTGCTGGAGGACGCGCGTGTTCCATATTTATCTTGGTTACTTCGATTTAACATGTATTAATGTTAAAAACGACGCACCGCTGCCACCATGTAGTGAAACACACGCCAGTTGGTTTAATACTGATTTATTTTTAAGGACACCCTCACTACGTCATTATAAATATACTACAGTCTTGTGCAGAGCAAGTGCTGACATTGGCATTGACTAAACGATGAGGGATCATAAGCCCGCACATAGGCAGGTACCAAATAGTACCAATACCAAAAACTAATTATATACAGAGCGAGAAGAGCAGACAGCGGCTTGGCTATGCCAATAATCATGAGAAACGGTCACTATGTACTTTCGGATAAGCCATATGTAGGTTTGCTTAGATTGGCAATAAATAAAAAATATAAAGACTTCTATGGTAACGAAAAAGCATCTTATTAAAATCAAATTCCCATAGTGTAGAAATTTGTGATATTAGTCATGGGAGAGAGGGTGAACAGCTTGCATGAGTAAATAACACCAATATGTCTATTTATGTGGCAATGCAGTCATTACTTCCAATCCAAATAGAGAGACCATCATTATTTAGCCTAGTAAGGTGAGGTGAATCGTAGAATTTAATAATTTCACATTGCGACTTCAATTCAATCGAGCATTTTTTATTTATTTTATTTATTGCTTAGATGGCGGGACGAGCTCACAGCGCACCTGGTGTTAAGTGGTTACTGGAGCCCATAGACATCTACGACGTAAATGCGCCACCCACCTTGAGATATAAGTTCTAAGGTCTCAAATAAAGTTACAGCGGCTGCCCCACTCTTCAAACCGAAACGCATTACTGCTTCACGGCAGAAATACCTACCCGCGCGGACTCACAAGACGTCCTACCACCAGTATCAATAAGCATACATTTAAAACAAAACAAACTGACTCACCTGAGCTCCAAGCAGCGTTCAGCGCACAATATCCGGCTACGATCGTTGTCGTCGACAACGCGAAACAAAAATTGAATTTCCGGACCGAACCGGGCGAACTACCGGCACTAATAATATCCACAACACTATCGACCCGGAAAACACTATTATAACAATTTTTTGTAATTTTCGTTATTTATAAAAAGAAAAAAAGAAATGCTTTTAAAAACTACACGTCATTATTATTAAGTAGCACACACACTTTCTCGTGTTGTTGTTGTTAACGTCTATATATATCTATGTATATATATACACACAATGCTGGTACTTCGTGCATGTTCTTCTCGCGTCTGTACGTTTTACTGTGTTTTAGCTGCTATAGACTTGACCTCGGTCGGGACGGCGGTCTCCGGTTTTTGCTTTTGATTCGCTGTTGACAGAAAAAACCATATAAAAATATAGTACACGTGAAAGAAGTGAAACTTCTTTTGCGGTGTGTAGTATTGTGTCTTTCGTCATTTTACACCCTTAAATTTCTCTTGTATTAAGGAATGCTGTGTTTAAGAGAAACGACCTAGCTAGCTTTGTCCTTTCCCTCTCTCTGCGGTAGAGCAGTTTTGCGAGACGCTCAGGTGAGTCAGAAAGTCGGGAGGTCAGAAAGACAGGGGATCAGAAAGTCAGGGGGATCAGAAAGTCAGGGGGGTCAGAAAGACAGGGGGTCAGAAAGACAGGGGGGTCAGAAAGACAGGGGGGTCAGAAAGACAGGGGTGTCAGAAAGTCAGGTGGGGTCAGAAAGGCAGGGGGGAGGGTCAGAAAGTCAGGGGGAGGGTCAGAAAGTCAGGGGGGGGGTCAGAAAATCAGGGGTGTCACTCACCACGCGTCCTGCCAGCGGAGGCGCCGCACGAACCAGCGCGGCCTCGCGACTTGCTGGCGCTGCACGCCGCCGCGCCGCACGCCGCCCCGCCCCCGCACGCCGCGCCGCGCCTGCACGCACACACAAACATGTCACTACTCCAGCTCCGAACTACACACTACACATGACACTGTTTGCAAGCAACGACTAGGGACCGTTGCCGTCCATGAGCGACGATGAACATTCAGAGTAATACTAGTGGATAGTTGTGTATTAGAATTTTTGACATATATAATATTTACTATTTTATTTAATTCAGTAAATCTAATTCGTATTTTTTTTATTGCTTAGATGGGTGAACGACCTTTCAGCCCACCTGATGTTGAGTGGTTACTGAAGCCCATAGACATCTACAACGTAAATGCCGTCACCCACCTTGAGATATAAGTTCTAAGGTCTCAGTATAGTTACAACGGCTGCCCCGCCCTTCAAGCCGAATCACTGCTTCACGGCAGAAATAGGCGGGGTGGTGGTGCCTACCCGTGCGGACTCACAAGAGGTCGTACCACCACCTAGCACCTGTATACACAATAGGCTGGATGAGTATGATGGGAGACAGTACGTGGCGTTCCTGGTCCTCTCGCTCTCGGAGACCGAGCGGTGGCGGTCGTAGGGGCGCGCGTGGGGCCCGCGCCCGGCCGCCGCCCCTCCCTGCGACGACAGCAGCTCGTTCAGTTGGGGCTGGAATTAAGCATCTTCGTTACTCGTGGCTACAGACTGAGGTGTACACTTTGAGAGACGACCTTGAAACAAGGGGTCGATGAACTCATGTCAGAGAGATAAACATACTTATTAACTTTTATACATATTAAATCCAACTATAGGTCAAAAACAAAAAAACTACCCTACAGGACTACAACAATAACAACAACAGACCTAAAATAACATGTTTATAGCACATATGTTTGCCCTACCTCGCTCCAGTAGTCAAGAATATTATATTACGAGTACATATGTAGTAGTTAACAATTTTAATTTTAATAATTTTGATTCGGTTTCATTTGATTTAATTTGATTTTTGTTTATTTTTATTTTTAATAATTCTGATAAATTAGTAATTTTAATTTTATTGTATTTTAATTTAAGTATATTATGCAATTGCATGTCATGTTTAAGGGGCTTAAATTGCCCCAAATAAACGAATGAAATGCATCATTCATTTCATTTCATTAACAACTGAATCGTCTGTACATTTCATTAACAACTGGTCAGTTAAATATAGAGGAACCCGTGACTGATTCCAGGCCTAATAGGCAACAATGAAGGTGCCATCATCATCATAATGCTGGTGAGGTCAGGCGGTGTTAGGGAAAGCTCTCGAAAGACAGATGACGGTCCTATTAGTTGAAGAAAAATAAGAAGACAGTATTTCTAACAAAGCCTTTGATGTAATGGGTCAAAAAAAAAACAATTTAGATTTAAAAAAAAAAACTTTCTACATAAGAAAAACCTAACATGTTTTTAAATTAAAATAGATCAATAGTTAAATCCTCCGCACTTTAAAAAATATATATTTAAATATATTTACCTCGAGCACGCGAAAGTCTTCAATGCTTTTGAACTTCGACAAGTATCCCTGGAGCTTAGGCTCGACTTGCAAAGCGCTCGCGTGCTTGTAGTACTTCAAAAACGCCCAGAACTTTTCCAAACCGTACAGCTGACCTGCGGGTAGACAGAAAAAAAAACAACATAGAATCATGCAGTCACCCACAGACATAAATAAGTATTACTGGTGGTAAGACCTTTTGTGAGCCTGCACAACTATAGGACCTTATATCTCAAGGTGGGTGGCGCATTTACCTCGTAGATGTCTATGGGCTCCAGTAACCACTTAACACCAGGTGGGCTGTGAGCTCGTCCATCCAACTAAGCAATAAATAAAAAAAGGGGGTACAGACTAGTCGTTGAGGACTCAGCCAAGTTTTGAATAGCCTCTTAAATATCTCTATTACAATGTGTTCCACACGTCGACACAATATTAATCAGCTATGATCGATACTGTTTCCTAAGGGAACGTTTCAATCTACCCCTATTGTGTACCTGAGAGGCTATATCAGCCGGACAGGAAGAGTTCGGGGATTACATCGGGAAGGATTTAGATGTAGATGTGACCTAAAGGATAAGACGTCCGGTGCGTTCGTATGTAGCGATACAACGGTGTTCGAACCCCGCAGGCGGGTACCAATTTTTGTAATGAAATACACGTACTTAACAAATGTTCATGATTGACTTCCACGGTGAAGGAATAACATCGTGTAATAAAAAACAAACCCGCAAAATTATAATTTGAGTAATTACTGGTGGTAGGACCTCTTTTGAGTCCGCACGGGTAGGTACCACCGCCCCGCCTATTTCTGCCGTGAAGCAGTAATGCGTTTCGGTTTGAAGGGTGGGGCAGCCGTTGTAACTATACTGAGACCCTTAGAACTTATATCTCAAGGTGGGTGGTGGCATTTACGTTGTAGATGTCTATGTGCTCCGGTAACCCCTTAACACCAGGTGGTCTGTGAAGTCGTCCATCCATTTAAGCAAAAAAACTCAATTTCCTAGGCCGAGAGGCCAGACCAACAAAGTCCAGGTGATATCCTAGTTAAGAACATTAGTTCAACAATGAAACCGGTCACCTTTCTCGTAGTCCGCCATCGTCTCCGTCTGGAAGTGCTGGTAGAGCTCCGGCCGGAACTTCCTCTCAAGCCCGTACGAGTAGAAGCGGAACAGGCACTCGAGCCCGTAGCGGAAGCCGGCCTGCGCGTCCTCGATGGCCAACGACCTGTGGACAGTGACAATGACAGTAGTCAATCGCTTAATTATGGCTCTGTCCATAACATTATGATATTTTGTTTTATGATTTTTAATTTAAGATAAGATTTAAAAAGTCGACTTGGTTTGTCAGTAAAACTCGAATTTGCCATTTTACAAGGATTGGAAAATATATAAGACCTGGCTTCGGCCTTATTGAAATTTTTATTTCAGGAAGAAATTATAAAGGACTTGGCTTCGGCTTTAATGAAATTTTTATTTCAGGATATAATATCATACAAGACCTGGCTCGACTATTTTGAAAATTTATTTCAGAAATTATATAGAACAGACAAGGCAGTATGGGCTTAGATCCTTACCTTTCCTAATAGGGAAAAATGGTACCAAAAAAAAAAAGCTTAAATTGAAAGAAGACCCTTTAAGCGTGAACCGTCGATAAATCGAGTGTCTATTGATGCGTATATGCGGAGCGTCACAATACCGACTATTGTGCAGTTTATTATAGGTATTACGTGTCAACCTGTACGGACATGGCTTAGCGCGCGCACGTATAGACAATAAGTTAATAACGTTTTTATAAATAGACATTTAAAATTATTTTGCTGCGCGAATTTAGTATTGAATTTTGTATTTTTTTGAAGTGTAACTTCTTTAGGCGCGTTGAGAGTAAAATTTATCTCGCAACAGATTCTTTATGGCTAGAAAGAAAAGATACAATTTAGGAAGTGCGAGAGTGAGAGAATAGACAGAGCGTCTCGCGAACCATTCGATCGTGGAGAGGGAAAGGACAAAGCGAGCTAGGTCGTTTCTCTTATACACAGCATACCCTATTACAAGATAAATTTGATTTAAAGATGAAAAATGAAGAAAACTATAATACTACACACCGCGAAAGAAGTTTAACTTCTTCAACGTGCACCAAGTTGCACGCGCACCATTTTTTTTTCAAATTAAAGTTTTTTTATGAGGTACATTTTTTTTAAAACCTTTAGCCATTTCTGCGAAATATTTGAAAATAAGCTCAGCAATAAAACGGTTATTAAGAGAGCTTTTAGCCTGAGATTTAAGTGTAGCGATAGTTATGAAAGAAACAAAAGATACGAGACAGATCCCTGAATCGCGCTAACAAAATTATCCAAGTAAGTTTATATAAGTTTATCCAAGAAAAATCTTCCGTTTGTACTTTTGTAGTTAGAACTTAGAATAATAATAACCAGAGGTGGTTACCGTTATTCTGCTTCGAACACACTTCGAACACACTTCGATAGATCTTAAACAATATACAATTGAGACACCGACCTCAAGCATCAAGATCGGAAGCGTTTGAATGTCCATGGACTCCCTCTATATTAAGATAACCATGAGCTCGACTGATTTTTTTTACTTGAACTAAGGGTACCACTACCATCAATCCACCTATCTCTTGCAAAGCACTGCTCTTGCTAGGGCTAGTTATCAAATTCTCTGAGATCGAGCCCGTGAAGCTCACCTACAGATAAAACGTAGCTGAGATAGCCTCTTAGGCTTCCAGCCAATAGGCAGAGAATAAAAACAGAACCATTAGAGTATTAAAAGACTCAACTACAACTTAAAACACTTTTCTCAGCGAATGTAATGTACTGGTAGCATTTAAATTTAACCTATTTTTCCGCTGCTTGTAAAATAGCTGTAACATGTCATAGTGTGTTATAAGAGATTGCTGTACATGCCTGTAACTGGCTTACATACCAGTACTGAATTTTATTTAAAATATGTTATTTTTAAGCTTGAATGTTTTGTGTGTATTGCTGTTGTCTAAATGTGTGTCTAAATAAATAAATAAAAAAATAAAATAAATAGATAAATGTACTCTCCCAGGCACTTCTAAACAGAAGAGCTTTCTTTTATCCTCCTACAGTACCTGCCGATAAGTGCTGCACATCGATCTTTAGAGAGTGACAACCGATTCAAGTATCGAATCAATAGAGCGCTATCTCTGTCGCACACCGAGGTGCGGTGTTTCTCGGCGGGCACTGTACGCCTACCTGAACTCGTTGTACATGGTCCTGTTGAAGTGGTCCCTCAGGAAGAAGGACCAGAAACGGAAGAGCGTGTTCATCTCCTGCGACTGCCCGATGCCGAGCTTCTTTCGTTCTGTCGGAAAACACAATAATTAAATAATTATTTAATTTTGTTAGTTTAATAATAAATGTTATTGTATAAATATTATTAATAAATAAATGTTAAAAAAAAAACAATTAATGTTTTTATATATATACTAGAAGACCCGGCCACACGTTGCTGTGGCTAAGGTTTTTGTTAATTAAAAATATTTATAATTACAAAAAACAAAAGAAAACAGTAATATATAAAATTATATAATATAATGTATGTAATATAAATATTCAGGTATTTCTAGAATTGAGCAAACATTAAATCACACATGCAATTAAAAAAAATTAAAAAAATCTTTATTCTAGTCCATATCTTAGGACAAAAGTAATAAAGGATACTGTATTATCAACAGTTCTTGGTACGTATGAAAATTTAATAATCAAAGAGACATCTAAAAAGTTGTAAAAAGTATGCTGAAAGATTTCGATACATAGACATATAGATACTACATATAGATACAGGCAATAATTCCACTTCTTATCCGACGATTTCAAGGGTAAGACATTCCATTATACCAATAATCTCTGGACAGGATAGATGATCGCAGCAGTTCTAACTAACACGACCGACCTCCTCAACCTTTTTTTTATGATTGAAGGATTACTGGTGGCCCGGAGGCCTTTCCAGTTTTACCAGGACAGGTGGGCGAGCAAAGGCTCAGTCAGAGGGGTGGGATTTGCTAACAGTTGCCCGAGCGCCTCCGAAGGAGACCTAACAACTCAAGAACAGCTGCTTCGCGAATGAATCTACTACCGGATCGGAATCGCGACCCGCTGAGACGATCCGGCGAGAAACTCAGCGGGCTGATGCATGGGTTAGTTCGACGAGTACGGTTATCGGGGTCTGAAGGAGTCTAATGCAAAGGTTATTGGATCTGATGGATCCGTAAGGACGTGAACCTCCTCGACCCTCCCGGGGGGGCTCACCTTTGAGACAGCGCGAGTGGTACTTGTGGTAAGCCTGTTGCGTGAAGTGGTTCTCCCGCAGCAGACCGTGGCTGGGGTGGTGGAAGGTCGGCAGGGACTGCGGCATGGAGCCGCACGACGAGCCCAGCGTCGGCGACGCGCCCAGCGACGACCTGTCACAACACCATACAGTAGCAGTAGTAGTTTTATTTTTCCAAATGGAAAGGCAAGGGTATCATACCATACAGTCTAATCTTTTATATATATATTTTTTTTTTATGAAATATGATATTATGAAATGAAATGAATTTGATTAATATGAAGCATGGCATGAGATGATATGATATGGGATGATATATAATCTCAGTAAAATGGTGGTCATTTATATCAAACATGTAAATTGGTTGGTTGGAACGTGAAGAGTAAAGTTGTGTGATTTGTTTCATTTTGTGTATTTAGTGTTTTTCTTCAGTTTTAAATGTGTAATAACGGTGGTTTATTAACCGTTTAGTATCTGTGAAAGTGGACAAATGTGGGAAAGTCAAACAGAGCCGCTGAACGTAACTTCTCGAGATCCTCGGAAAAGTCCACTGAAAAAGTCTCAGTAAATGACCACCACTTGACTTTATATTTCATACCATATCATCACATTTCTTTTTTTTTTTTTATTGCTTAGATGGGTGGACGAGCTCACAGCCCACCTGGTGTTAAGTGGTTACTGGAGTCCATAGACATCTATAATTTAAATGCCACCACCCACCTTGAGATATGAGTTCTAAGGTCTCAGTATAGTTACAACGACTTTCAAACCAAAACGCATTACTGCTTCACGGCAGAAATAGGCGGGGTGGTGGTGCCTACCCATGCGGACTCACAAGAGGTCCTACCACCAGTGTAAAATATGTAGTACTGACCCGGTGCTTTGGGTCCTGGGTCGGTGTTCGCGCACGTCCATGATCCAGCCGACGTGGTGCTCCACCGGCGGGTTGAGGCTGTATCTAGTCTTGTGCTTCCTGCTGCAGCTGCAAATATAAATTCAGGGTATCCTTAATCACGGTCATCCTTAGCACGGATGGTGGTGGTGGGGCGTAGTCTTAGGTGGTTTAAACGTCGACTACTGATACCAAGCACCCCACGCTTTTTTACAATAAAATAATTTTTTCTTATACTATTTTTAATTCAAATTTATTAAAATTTATTTTCTATTTTTTAGTTGTATTTTTTACAAAAGCGTATTTTTTTTGTATTTTTTAAACTATTAAGTATTAATTTTTTATTTTTTAGTGGAATTTCAATATTTTCAATTATTTTTTAATATTGAATTGTCATCGGTCCTTAGTAGGTATACCAAATTTCGAGTTAATCCGACGTTTTGAAGGGGGTCAAAATCATGTTCAAAGATTCCGTTACAAACATACATATGTCTGAAGCTAATAAAAGCGTGTTAAAAATAAATGTAATATTGGCATTGTTACTGACATGACATCGGTAGCGTGTGGGTCCTTGCTGGCCGCGTAGAAGCGCGCGGTTCGCCGGGGACGGGACGCCTTGCCGCCGCCGGCCGGCTGCTGTTGATCCACCTGCGAAAACCATTTAATATAATAACTAATAATACTAGTGTCTTGTCGTGCCTTGACGTAATGTGACGCGTTCTGTATACATGATTTTGTGTAGCATGTCGTGGCGTGTCGTGACGGGACGTGTTCTGCTAAACTTTAATCTCGTAAACATTACTATTTCTATACGTGTATTAAATGGATCCCTGAACGCGATCAAATTCTTCGTGATTTTTTTAACAGAGTAAGAGTAATGCATTATAATTACTAAATATTTCCAATATTATATTAGGGTTTAAAGTATGAAATTGTCGATTTGTACCGCAAAATTGAAATTTGTTTTTCTTTTTGTTCATTCAACATATTGTTTATTTAATCAAAATATCTATCATTATTATCTATACATTGCTGCCATTGAATAGGAAGGTCATTTATGCCTTTGCGATAGAACTCTGGTGATCTAAATTCTAAAAAGTGTGTGAAAGCATTTTGTACTGTCTCCAGGGAAGAAAGCTTTTTATCACGTAGAAAATTTTCCAAATCACGAAAAAAAGGGTAGTCCGTTTCAATTTTGCATGGCAATTTCATACTTTAACCCCTATTATTTGACCATTTCATAGAATAGTATTACATATTTAAAAGTTTTTCTAAAAAAATTTATTCTAAAGATTGCAATTTCGGCTAAAGGTAGCTAGGCAGCGGCTTGGTTCTGCCCCTGGCATTGCTGAAGTCCATATGCGACGGTAATCAGTCACCATCAGGTGGGCCGTATGCTCGTCGGCCTACAAGGGCAATAAAAAAAAAGAAGGCGTAAACCATTTGCTGGTAAGCCGTATTATCCGATCCGACCATGTGTACCTGGTGGTGGGGGTGCGCGGGGGGCGGCGGGGGGCGGGCGGGGTTCCTATGCCGCTCGTTTGGCACGGCTGCCTCGAACTGCTCACGGCTGATCAGGCTCACAGTGCGGTACTCACGGCCGCTACCGTACGACTGTAACAATTGTACTCATTAATAATTCAACCCTTTTTTCCCTACTTATGCTGATAGCCTTGGGAGACTATATCAGCTTCTCCTTGACGAGTAGGTGAGCTCACGGGGCTCTAATCAGGAGTGTTACCAACACTGGCCCTAGCAAGAGCCGTGCTTCGGCAAATCTACCAACGGATATATTGTCTTTCGAGTTGAACCCGGTCACCGTCCTCGTCAAACCCGTCGCTTGCGACGAAGGGCTCGACGAGTAAATGAACCCACAGACACAGCCCACTGAGTTTCTCGCCGGATCTTCTCAGTGGGTCGCGTTTCCGATCCGGTGGTAGATTCAGCGAAGCACTACTCTTGTTAGGGTTAGTGTTAGCTGCGTCGTCAGGTTAGAGCCCCGTAAGCTCACCTACTCGTTCGCTGACGCTGGCATAACTCCTTAGATTACACCAGCTTAGGTACAAAAAAAAATCATTAATCAAATCCAACACTCACTGAAGTATATTCTGTGTCGTTCCACAGGTCCTCTTCGTAACGACGGAGTCCGTCAGTGATGACCTGTTTAAAAATTAAAAATAGCTTAAAAAGGTTTTTTTTTTTTTTTAAATGTTAAATAAAAACTACCCTTTTTAACTATAATAAAGTATATCGTATAGTATATCAATATAAACGGACCCTACAGACGTAGGTTGTCCTGTGCGCATCGCCTTAAATTAGAAATTCTCAAGTTTTTATTATAAAAGAGGCCTACGTAGAAGAAGAGGTGGACCAAGGAACATACTTTTGTCTAAAATAATGTTTTTAATATTGCTTAGATGGGTGGACGAGCTCACAGCCCACCTGGTGTTAAGCGGTTACTGGAGCCCATAGACATCTACAACGTAAATGCGCCATCCACCTTGAGATATAAGTTCTAAGGTCTCAGAATGGTTACAACGGCTGTACCGCTCTTCAAACCGAAACGCATTACTGCTTCACGACAGAAATAGGCGGGGTGGTGGTACCTACCCGCGCGGACTCACAAGAGGTCCTACCATCAGTATTTAAAGACGGAGAGATCAGCCACGGCACCCACCTGCTCGAGGTCCTGCGTGATCTTGGTGCGGCTGGTCCAGTCCCCCTGGCGGTCGTGTCCGTCGTGCTTGGCGGCGCGCGTCGTCTGCGTCACGATCAGCAGTCGCCCCACATCGCCGTCCGTGAACTCCGCGTCCGACTCCTCGTCGGACCTGCGCGACAGTGACGTCACATTACCGACTACCGCCCTGGTTCATTGCGCGCTTTGTAACATTCTATATGCGACACTAATTATTAGGCCGGTAAGAGCAACGCCACCTATCGCCGAATAGCAGAACGAACATCGAAGGATCTAGTAGGGCCTAGAACGCTCGAGAAGTACAACGCCATCTATTGTAAGATCGCGGAAACACACACCGAAAATACTCGACTTGTGAGGAATGTTCTCGATAATTCTAGGGATGTCGTCTCGACTATAAAAGCGTTGGAGACGGCACGCAGTCAGTCAGTAATCTAAGCTACTCGAAGCGAAACAACGAATTCGAGTCTAGAGCTTTAAATTTCTTCAAACACTGACCATCGATCTCATCGAGCTCGGCGATGAGAGCTAGTGTTTTTTTTTCTTTTTTGCCTACCTAAGCTGAGAGCCTTGAGAGGCTATTTTAACGTAAACTTAACTAGTAAGTGAGCTCACGGGGCTCAAACCTGACGACGTTGCTAACACGAACCCTAGCAAGAGCCGTGCTTCGCAGAATCTACCACCGGATCGAAAACGCGACCCACTGAGAGGATCCGGCGAGAAACTCAGTGGGCTGTATCTGTGGGTTAATTTACTCGTCGAGCCCTTCGTCTCAAGCGACGGGTTCGACGAGAACGATGACCAGTGCTTGAGGTACCTAAAAGCACCGTTAGTGGATCGGGAGGATCCGAAATGACGTGTTTGGGGCGACGTCGACTGCTTTCCATTCTGTCCGCATTGGATTGGGAATGGGACTAATTTCTGAGACTCACCAAGCATCGGTGAAGGTGTTGTGTCTCGGTGGAGGTAAGTCGAGTTCCTCGTCCAACTGGAAGTGGAGCTCCTCGCGAGGCTCCTCGTCGGGGACTTCGCCCTCGGGCGCGGGCCCCCCGGCGGCGGAGCGCTCGCGGGAGCCGGCTTTCGTTCGACGTTTCACCTGTGCACAAAAACTTTTAGTAAAAAAAATACGACCGTATACTAATGAAGATACGGCACGCCTGGTTTATTTTAGTTATTTTCATAGTGTTATGTCCTATTGTATTGGAGTGTTGTAGGTGAAATAAAAGAAAACTGTTCAAGTCAACAATTCGTGTAATACTGTTATAATTTAGTGTGTGCAGTTACAAATATAAGGTTAGGCGAGCTGCACACTACACTATGGCATTTTGCTATGGGGCAATGCTGCCGATGTCGAAACGATTTTCATCCTGCAGGAGAGGGCTATTCGTGCTATTTATAATATGCACCCGAGGGAATCCTTGAGGGACAAGTTTAAGGTAATCAAAATTCTAACTTTAGCGACCCAATACATTTTTGAAAATTTGTTGTACGTGCGTAAAAACATTAAAAAATTCCCCAGAGTCTGCGATTTGCACAATGTGAACACTAGGAACAAACATAGGCTTGCGTTGCCAGTGGCTAGAATTAAGAAAATAAGCAACTCTTTTAGGGGGCTGGGTGTACAACTTTTCGACAAGATCCCACTAAACGTTCAATTACTACTTGTTCATAGATTTAAGAAAACTGTCAAGGAACGTTTGTGCAACAAGGCATATTATAAAGTTAAGGATTATTTACTAGATGGTACTACGTTGGAATGAGGTGCTCGCTCCTGGCCTTTTCATTTATCATTATTATTATTATTTTAATTGTATTTTTTACATAAAAAAAAAACATAGTAAAAAATAAATACCAGAATAAAAATTTTTTTTATACCTAGAGTAGAACTTAAAGAATTAATATTTTTATAATAAGGAACTTCGTTAAGGAACGTATTTTTTTTGTTTTTAAAACACAGCACGCAATGTAACATTAAATCAGATGGCAAGGTCAGCGCTCCCAGTCTGCTGAGCTGTTAAATGATTTTTTTTGTCGTTAATTTAACAGCACATAATTTTTTTTATCATATAACGACTCACATAACATTCAGTTGTTACCGTAAACTCATTAAACACTCACGCAACTTTACAAAAATGATCTTGTGCCATCCATATTATGATAATTACTAATAATATGTAGTAATGCAAATATATTACACGGTGTTATTTCTTCACCGTGAAGTCATTTGTCTGCATGTTTTAAGTGCATATTTCATAAAAACAGTCATCAATTGTCGTGGGTGAACTCACGGCCCACCTAATGTTAAATGTTTACCGGAGCCCATAGACATCTACAACGTAAATGCGCCATCCACCTTGAGATGTAAGTTCGAAGGTCTCAGTATAGTTACAACGGCTGCCCCGCCCTTCAAATCGAAACGCATTACTGCTTCGCCGCAATAAGGGAACAGATATGTAGTCGGGTACCTCGGTCCAGTCGGCGGCGCCGCCCTCGGCCTGCGGGCTGTGCGCGGCGGAGCGCGGGCGGCCCCCCGGCTGCTCCCCCGGCTCGCTGCCGTTGTCCTCTGTACAACAAACACACAATACACTGGCTACACTTTATATATTCTGTATCGAGGGGTGGAAGGCTATTTGGCTCAAGATATTGTAATCTTTGTAATTAAAGGTGCGTTTTATTTAGTATTAGAATGAACAGTTCGATGTTTTCAATTGAAATTCAATTAAGTTTCCCTCATTCAAGAATCACTAAACAAGTTTTTTTTCATTATATTTTTTTCCAAATTTTAATACACTAAATAAATGGCTCTCCTGTAAAATTGCAAAAAACTGCAAAAATATCGTTTAATCCAAATAACCTTTCACTTGTCCATACGATATCCTTCATCTTATCATCAGCACATCCTGCCTTTTTTGACAAACACGCCTACCGTCCACCTGGTAGCGGGTGGCCACTCAATTAATTCAATATTCTTACTACATAATTACTGTTTACATAGATAGTATTGCGTTATGACCGTACTCTCCCAGAGTTTCGAACTCAAAATCCGCACTAGGGGACGCATCAGAGACGCGTTCCGATTTGAAGGACCAGACGGTATCTTCAGCCCCACAACCCCCCTCGGTTACCATCACCGAGACATGAGGCGTGCGTCTCAATAGCCTACCGCCCACGCATCTATGAGGACACGAGCCTCGCAGTAACAGTATCTAAACGTTTAGACGTCGCGTCACGTCACGTCACATCACGTCACGTCACCTTGTCGCCTCGCCTGCGGCACGAACTCGGGCACGTTCGGATCGAGCGAGTCGTGTGGCGGCGTCGGGCCGGGCCTGCTCGTGCGGAACATCCTGTATCGACATAGACAAATATACATCAGCACACATCATATAAGCTTACAATTAAAGACTGGAAAGTACAGTGCACATAATCAGATGTAATTGGATATGACAAAAAAACGATATGGTACAGTAAGATTATAAGTAGGGCGCTAGTGATATAATGAATTATAATAGGGTGTGTTAGGCTACGATAGGTAACGGTAAGGTACAATAGAGTAAAGTAAGGTAAAGTGTGGTACAGTAAGGTACAATGTGGTATTGTAAGTTCCATAAGGGTACAATGTGGCATATTAAGGTACAATAGGGTATATTAAGTTACAATAGAGTATAGTAAGTAAGCTAGAGTTTGATATAGTAAGGTCCAATAGGCGATGTTAGGCTACGATAGGGTACGGTATAATTACAGTAGGGGTACAGTAAGATGCAATATGAAATAATAAGGTACAATAATGTGTTAGCTAGAATAAGTTATATTGAAGTCTGACCGCGGCAGGGGCGGGGGCGGCACGGCTCGCAGCAGGCCGGACACGGGCGCCACCAGCGGCCCGCCCATGGTCGCCAGCGGGAAGATGCCCACCATCTGCTTCTTGCGACTGCCGACAGTAACACGTGCACACAGTCAATACTGTTACGTTTTGAAGTCGTCGTGGCCTAACAGATAAGACGTCCGGTGCATTCGTGTTGAGCGATGCACCGGTGTTCGAATCTCAGGCGGGTACCAATTTTTCTAATGAAATACGTACTCACCAAATGTTCACGATTGACTTCTACAGTGAAGGAATAACATAAAGTGTAATAAAAATCAAACCCACCATTTACAGTTTGCATAATTACTGATGGTAGGACCTCTTGTGAGTCCGCACGGGTAGGTACCACCACCCTACCTATTTCTGCGGTGAAGCAGTAATGCATTTCGGTTTGAAGGTTGGGGCAGCCGTTGTAACTATACTTCAGACCTTAGAGCTCATATCTCATGGTGGATGGCGCATTTACGTTGTAGATGTCTATGGGCTCCAGTAACCACTTAACAAATGATGGGCTGTGAGCACGTTCACCAATGTAAGCAATAAATAAAAAGAGCTTCGATAAGACATACAGTCTAATTGGTCAACATATATACATAATGAAGGGACCGCAAAACTGTTTGCAAAATTATAAACTAAGCATGAAACTGACCGTTTTTCGCCCGGCCTCTCCTCGGTCCCCTCGGTCTGCAGCGGGGGATCGTCACTGGAATCCAGCTTCTTGTCTTCCTGAGCCTCAGGAGCGCTGTCCGCCTTCTGCTCCTGCGGCGGAGGGGTCTGCTGCAGCAGGAAACAGAACGTGAAGACATCACTAGAGACATTTGGCTGTATATATTGAATGAAATCAAATCAAAAAAAAAAATATTCAACATAAATGAAAGTACATACTTGTTGAACGTCAAAAAGAACTACCGCCTCACAAAAACTAGCCTCCGTCCTGAGAAAAACTGGCAAGAATCTCAGCGGGCACGTCTTTTTTTTTAAATATTAGATTTTTTTAAATATTCATTTTTACAAACTGTATTATAACGTAACAATTATTGCAATATTGAAATGCCCGGAGCGAGCAACTCATTCCTACTTTGTGCAATCTTCTAGATAATCATTGACTTTATAGTAAACTTTATTGCAGAGATGTTCTTTCATAGTTTTCTTGGGCTCCAGTAACCATGTAACACCAGGTGGACTGTCAGCTCGTCCACCCATCTAAGCAATAAAAATTAAAAAGTTGTACAGCACTGACTATGTCAACTTACCACTTCCTTGTCATCTTCCACCTTTACATCTTCCACGTGTTCAGGCACTTCGATCTTCGCAGTGTCCACGACCACGTCAGAGTTGTTCACATCATTCGGCTGTTCTTTTATCGTCTCGGGTTCAACCTTCTCATCTTTCCGCTCTATACTGGGAGCCTCGACAATGTCCTCCTAATATTGGGCGAAAAAAAAAACAATAAATAGAAATCCGCTGATGGAGCACGCTCAACTGACTTCTGACGTCATTTGGGGCCAAAACAGTTGACTTCATAAAAAAAATCGCTTTGGTAATTTTCCAATTACAGCACAAGAGCGCATTATGCAGCATATTGCTCAACGTTGAATATTCCAACTACAGCAACGCTTCGCACAATCGAGCACTCTCAAAAGTACTGCTCTCGCGTGATACTCGCAATCGATACCGACTCAGTGACAGAAAATTGACAAGTGTTTTTTCTTTAAGTTGGCATTGATCGAAATTTTGTTAATATTAACGTTAGTAATATTATTTATTGTTGAAAAAATTTGTAAGGCTTTCGTTATGTCGTAGTTTCTTGGAAATAATCAAAGTTAATTCAGACTGTGCTAATAAAAAAATAAATATAAGTATGGATGAAGGTACAAATAATTACAATTTTTTTATATTCCACATTTAAAATGTGAATACAATTTCATTTTAGAATTCGAATCTGTAAACAAATTTATTTTAATAATTGGAAAGCTACCTTTATAAATATGTATGTAAATATCGGTGCAACACTACTATTTATTTAACTAAAATTAGTTCATATTAACTATTAATGTTAAAATTATTACAAATTTATGAGTAGACTACCCTCAGTTTTCTACTATAAATACTGACCATTGTCGCACCAAACAATGACGTCACAAAAAACAACATGGCGCCAGTTGGGCTGTCAAATCTATACTAATATTATAAAGCTGAAGAGTTTGTTTGTTTGAACGCCCTAATCTCAGGAAATACTGGTCCGATTTGAAAAATTCTTTCGGTGTTAGATAGCCCATTTTTTATCGAGGAAGGCTATAGGCTACATAACATCACGCTAAGACCAATACAAGCGGAGTACTAAAAAAGAATGTTTCAAAATCGGGGTTTTTTTTTTCCTTTTGAAAGTTTCCGCTGCGTGCGCTGCAGAAACGATTAAAGTTTCGCTAAAATAATGTATGACAGAATTGTTCCGCTTTAAAAGATATAAAAAAAAGTCCGCGACAGCATATGTCTATATGTTAAGGTTGGCTCACTATAACGTTTTTTATGCTAACCAAATTTGTTCTAAAATAAAGCATTACTAGATGATGACCGAGCTTTGTTCGGTTTTTTTTTGATAACGCCATCTTGTTGTGTCTTTAAAACGCTTAGTTGCCCTCAATTAAGAAAAATAGTATTATTTTTCGCCAATAGATGTCGGGAAGAGTTGATAATTGAAAACACGAATAAAACAACATTTTCTGAATATAAATCGTAGCTAGATCGATTTATCGCCCCCGAAATCCCCTGTATACTAAATTTTATGAAAATCGTTGGAGCCGTCTCCGAGATTCAGATTATATATATATACAAGAATTGCTCGTTTAAAGGTATAATATTTGTGAACTATTCCACGCGGACCAAGCCACGGGCAAAAGCTAGTGTATATATATATATATAAACCTATACCTTAACTTGAACGACATCATCGGCGTTTGTCTTGACCTGTTCCTTTTCGTTGTTTTCGGGATTCGTCTTCTCCGCCCCGGCCTTCTCGGGCTCGGCCGGCTTCGGTCTCTCCGGCCTCTCGCCCTCGTCGGAGCTCGTCGCCACGTCCAGTATCGGCCACTTGGTCGGCTCGAACACGGTCCGCACCTTGAACACCAAAAGGTTTGTTAAAACGTCATCGATTGACTCTCCACCTGACCCATAGACACGGCTGAGTTTCTCGCCGGATCTTCTCAGTGGGTCGCGTTTCCGATCTGGTGGTAGATTCTGCGAAGCACTGCTCTTGCTAGGGTCAGTATTAGCAACACTCCGGTTTGAGCCCCGTGAGCTCACCTACACACGTTAGGGTGAAGCTGAAATAGCCTCTCAAGGCTATCTGCACTGAGAGAAAAAAAAAAGAGAGCATGTACGAATGGATAGGAGGATCCTGCTGCACGCATTTATACTCGCTAGGGCCAGTGTTAGAAACGTTTTTTTTTAAGTTAAGTTTTTTAAAGTTATTTTTACATTTTATGAAGGTGTTATGTGCCTATATTACTCGTAGACCTTAAAAAAAAATACGAATGCACCGGACGTCTTATCCTTTAGGCCACGACGACGACAATTTACGTGCCTGATACAGAAGGCAGTTATTCTCGATACAGCGAGCATTGTGAGGTTTCTCGCTCTGGACTCCTAGCCACTGGTGACTTGTGTCGTAGACACCGCCATTAGCGGCAATCTGTCTATACTAATATTATAAAGAGGAAAGATTTGTTTGTTTGTTTGTATTGAATAGGCTCTGAAACTACTGAACCGATTTGAAAAATTCTTTCACTGTTTGGAAGCTACACTATTCCCGAGTGACATGAGCATCTTTTTTGAAAAAAATTAGGGATCCTTACTAAACTTCAATAATGTAACCCAAGGTGTAAAAAAATTACCAAAAAATTTTTTTTACATCGCGTGCCCTGCGATAACGATTGATGATAGAATAAAATAATGTACAACGACTTTATAGAACACATTATTATTTACAAAAAGTGTCTTGACATCATATGTCTAATTATTATAGTTGTGCCGCAATAAGTGTTCTTTTATTTTAAAAAAATAAAACAAAATCAAATAACATTGAAATTTTTCTTTAAAACCCGATCGGGCCGCTAGTTTTTTATATAGTTGTTTTTTTTAAATAGTATTTAGCCCTTTGACTGCCGTGTAGGTCACAGGTACCTCGCGTGGTACCAGGTGCGACGACGACTTGATATACACGAACAAATGTCTCGTCTGTCTCGTCTATCTGGTGGTGGTGGTACCTTGAAGCCGCTGATGAGCTCCAACCGCTCCGAGTCCCGGATCGCGTCGAGGACCAGCTGCACGTCTGAGGTGAGCGCCCGGACGCGGTGGAACGAGGCGATCAGCGTCACCGGTATGGTGCCGTCCGGGGACATCTTCCGTCTCAGGAAGAAGTCGCGGGCCAGGTTATCCGGACTGAAGTAGTATTCGCTGAAATGGAAAAAAACGGGTGAGGTAGGTAATTTTCGGTTCTATCGTAATTCAAACTAAGACTGGTATTGTTTAAGATAGCTTTTGTTATGGGACGATGCGGAGGGGTACCCTAACCGGGAAAAAACGTCCGTAACGTAAGATTTTTATTAGTAACGCACACAGTGTACGACTTAACTTTGTAATAACGTTTTTTTTTTTTTATAACAACTAAGAGGCAAACGAGCAAGACGGGTCACCTGATGGTAAGTGATTCACCGCCGCCCACGGTCACCAGCGTTTACGCCAGTGCGTTGCCTACCCTTCAGATAAGAATATGCTCTTTTCTTGAATAACCCAATGTCGCAGTTGTTGGGGAAGACCGCTGATGGCAACGAATTCCAGAGATTTACTGTGCGTGGCAGAAAACTGTTTTTAAAACGCATTGTAGTGGAACGCCAACCATCCAGATGGTGCGGATGATAGTTCCGGCGAGACGATCGGTTGCGAAAATCAGCGGCTTCTATTAAATTGAACAACTCCTCGGAACACTCCCCATTGTAAATTCTGTAAAGTATGCATAGGGAAGATAGATCCCTACGCAGTGCCAAAGGATCTAGCCGATCGGCAAGTACAGGATCGTCGACAATCCGAGATGCCCTACGTTGGATTCGGTCAAAGGGAGATAGCTGATAACCCGGAGCCCCGGCCCAAAGGTGGCAACAATACTCCATGTGAGGCCGCACCTGCGCCTTATACAGCTTAAGGCGGTGAGCCGGCTTGAAGTACTGTTTGGCCCTGTTGAGTACTCCGAGTTTTTTGGAGGCCATTTTAGCCTTGCTCTCCAAATGACCTCCAAACTGGACAACACTCGAAATGTCTACGCCCAGAATGCCCATGTTCGGCTTGGCACAAAGGTGAGTGTTTCCGAAGAGTGGCGATGCGACAAAGGGGGCTTTTTTAGCGGTAAACGCGCAAACTTGAGTACAAAAAGTAACATATTTTTTTATCATTCATTGTCCACGATCTCAGGGCGTTCGTTTGCGCAACACATTAACTCTTATGCAAACAACCGTGAATGAAGTGTACCACAATAAGTTCGCACGTTACCGAATGACCGTGGGTTGTTGCGAAACCTCCAGTTTTATTTTCTTTATACCTCGAATAGAACTTAACATTAATATTTTTATAATAAGGAACTTCGTTCCTATCCGGTGTCCCACGACACCACACATCTTTTTTATTGCTAAGATGGGGCACTCATAGCCCACCTGGTGTTAAGTGGTTACTGGAGCTCATAGACATCTACGACGTAAATGCGCCATCCACCTTGAGATATAAGTTCTAAGGTCTCAAGTACAGTTCTCAACATTTTGACTGCGTTATGCGATTTAAAAAGTCCCATGCATGATTGTTCCCTTGTGCGATAATTAAAACCGCGTTCTTTCGCTTACCACAGGAGGCGACTGTATCCACATTTCTGTATGGACTTTTTTGAGGTCTCATTTACACTGTAAAAAAGTCCAATCTTGCCTTGATAAGACCTCATACGAACTGTTTGAGAGTCCCCCAGAAATGGTCCCACAGTCAACGTGTTATGAGTTATCGTCTTCTCGCATTAAAACTGTATAATCTCAAAACTTACTAATCTTACAGGAGAGTGTTTTAAAGGTTTAACATGTGATATTTTTAATATTAATCATATTTGCAACATTTATTTTTTATTTTCTACCAGTTACATTATCTGTCTTTTAAAGTAAGATAAAATTGTGTATTAATTTTGTTAATAGTAGTCAAAATATAGGTAAACTAAAAAACAAAACTAAAATTAAACTACGCTCTTTTGACAGTATTTAAGAAAAATACTGGTATAAATACCAAATGATTCCGCATATTAACTCAATTTCGAATATTTTTGGAAATTGTACACTTTTAATGCGAAAAGACGAACTGTCCATAAGTTATTCTAATGATAAATATACAACGAAACTCACATTTGTTTCTTGATCAAATCCTTCAACGTTACTTGGTCCAGACCTAGTCCGTATGGCGCAGCTGTCGCGGCGGCCGCCCCGTAGTAATAAGCCTGGGCGAGACCGGCTCCGAGACCTCCCAGCGCCAAGCCGGGGTACTGCATCACTAGACCCTGTGCCAAACCCGCTTGTGGTATCCGCAGCTGTTTTGGGGCAAAGGTGGGGGTAGGAGGGGGGAGGGGGGAGACGAGGACGAGAGGGGAGGAAGGAAAGTGATACAAAAGACCAGAGACCAATGAACGCGTAATCCCAAAAAGCAACGACATTATTGGTTATTAATGAATATAGTAACACCACCAAAACCCATAATGAATTTACGTAAGGTTTGCAAAACAATAATGTTTAATTAAAATACGATCAACCCGATGATTCCCCAAACAAAAGCAAATATGCTCGTTCGAATATAAGGAATAATAAATTATAATGAGAAAGTATTATTAATTTCCCAAAAAAAGATTAATTGTACCCAAGGATTTCGGATGTGATGGAACGGTGAAGGAAGCGGGTGGAATAATGAGACCCTTATTAGTTCCTGTACCGATCATTTCTGGTTCCCAAATATGGCGATTTAAATCAAGACTTTGGGGGGACAGGGGGGACACGAGGAGCCACGTATATGGTTTTATTTTCTCTTGTAATAATGGTAATGTTTGCCTTTGGCGTCTGATCAAAGACTCTGAGTATGTAAGTCTTTGGACATAGCTTCTCGGGTTCCCCCAAAAACCCAAATATGTTACGTTTTTTTTTATTGCATAGATCGGTGGACGAGCTCACGTCGCACCTGGTGTTAAGTGGTTACCGAAGCTCATAGACATCTACAACGTAAATGTCGCCACCCACCTTGAGATATAAGTTCTAATCAGTATAGTTACAACGGCTGCCCCACCCTTCAAACGGAAACGGATTACTGCTTCACGGCAGAAATAGGCAGGGCGGTGGGACCTACCCGTGCGGACTCACAAGAGGTCCTACCACCAGTAATTACGCAAATTATAATTTTGCGGGTTGTGATTTTTATAACACGATGTTATTCCTTCACCGTGGAAGTCGATCGTGAACATTTGTGATTTCATGACATGATTCGTCCCAACATCCCGTAATGATAACTTTATTATTCGATTATAGCACTAGAATCCAGGCCGTTAAGTATATATAAGTATATAAAGGGTGAAAGGCTGATTGAGTTAAGCGACATTTCGCTTAACACGCGACATTTATCTTTGTAATTAAAGGTCCGTTTAATTTGGTAACAGCATCAACAGTTCGATGTTTTTAATTGAACTTCGAAATAAGTTTACCCCATTCAAAAATATCTAAAGAAGTTTTTTGGTTATGACATATTTTTTCCAAATACTTAAACTTTAAATGGCTCTCCTGTGAAGTTGCAAAAATGTCGCTTAAACCAAACATCCTTTCACCCCTCGATATATAACATAATATATTAAATATTATACAAATTCCAACTGTCGAAAACTAGAGCATAAATTCGTTACGTTTTTATTTTACATATAGATAATTTTTTAATAAATATAAAAGAAAAAACACGTGTGGCACTCGGGGACTGCCGCGGTAAAGCTATTGCATAGCATTTTTTATTAACTTATGCAATTATAATTAGACAATAATAATTTGATATTAAAACAATAATAAAATAAGACCGCGCTATATTTATAAATATTAACAAAAGCAAAAAAATAACTGTCCCCTTCGCACTCATAAGCTAGACCGCGCGAGAGAGAGATGGGCAGACTTTTCATGATGCGCATGCAGTGTGACGTCACGCCACGCGCTTATTCACAAACACTACAAAAGCGTAACGTGTGAATGAGCTTCATGGTAGACGGAGTGGGGGTGTTAGGTTTTATTTTCGTTACGGAATTTCCTGATTCGGTCGCCACGCTCAAGGCCCGCGATAAAAGCTATGCAATAGCTTAAAAACAATAACCAAATTTCAAGTCAGAATTTATTTCTCTGGTTTTCGACATTAACACCAAGTTAAAGGATATGCAAAATAAACCTTATCTCCCAACGTATAATGCACAGTATGGTGGCACCACGGTTCAATGATGAAAATATTACACCAATTGTCAAAGGAAGGTAAGAAGACACATCTATACTTAATATAAGATCTATTTTAATCTTATATCTTGTCAAACTTAAAACACAATCATATGTATAGCGCAAATAGAGATAGAGTTTATAAATTGATTTTTTAATTCTAAAAATATATGAAGACATGAGTGGATGAAGGGGTTAAGTACTATTTTGAAATTTTTTGAGTTTTTACATTGAATGAAGGTGTTATGTGCTTATAAACCATATAAGACCTTAAAACTCCGAGTTTAAAGGCTATTTTTAGAAATTTCATGTGATGAAGGAGACTCATACGAAGAAAAGGTACATGTAACAAAAATTTGTTGACCGTTTTCTTAAAATAAACAGATTGTATCATATCCCCTTCATTCACTCATGTCTTCATACACATATATATTATAATATACTGTAAAAGCTTTTTATCTCGATATGATACCCGAGAGCGCGCTATAACCTAGTCTCATCATCATCATCATCATCAACAGCCCAGTCGCCCACTGCTGGGCATAGGCCTCTCCCGATCCACACCTAACCTAGTCTGCCAATCTAGATTAGTTTAGAGCGTACCTGTGACAGTTCCGGATGGTGGCCGAAGTCGTGAGGGTGGTGGAACACGGCGTGCGGCGGGGCGGCGAGCGCGGACAGCGCGGACACGGGGCGCGGGCCGGGGCGCCGGGCGCCGCGACCTCGACCCCCGCCGCGCACCGAGCGTGCCCCGCGGGGACGCTCCTCGCCGTTCAGGGAAACCGTGTCTGTCATCAGATCTCATCTCAAAATCTTTTATTCAACGACGCAGAAATTAAGTCGTCGCGGCCTAAAGGATAAGACGTCCGGTGCATTCGTATGTAGCGATGCACCGGTGTTCGAATCCCGCAGGCGGGTACCAATTTTTCTAATTAAATACGTACTTAACAAAATGTTCACGATTGACTTCCACGGTGAAGGAATAACATAACGCGTAATAAAAATCAAACCCGTAAAATTATAATTTGCGTAATTACTGGTGGCAGGATCTCTTCTGAGTCCGCGCGGGTAGGTACCACCGCCCTCCCTATTTCTGCCGTGAAGCAGTAATGCGTTTCGGTTTGAAGGGCGGAGCAGCCGTTGTAACTATACTGAGTCCTTAGAAATCGTATCATCACCCATCTCGAGATGGGTAGCTCATTTTCGTTGTAAATGTCTATGAGCTCCAGTAACCACTGAACACCAGGTGAGCTGAAGGCTCGTCCACCCAAGCAATAGGTTCAACGGTTAACACTCATAAGTTCGAAATCATCAAAATCAGTCGTGAAGTCACTTAACCAATTCCTTTTCTCTTTCACGCCAGCGACTTATAACCGATGACGTCACAAACCGCGACACTGCAAGTAAATATCGAGGCGACCCTTACCGTTCTCAGGCCTCGCACCGTGCGGGGGACCGTGCTTGTTCTGCCTGGGGCCCTTCACTTCGATGTCCAGAGGCACCCACTTGTGCTTGCCGGATTTGTTGCCGCCTTTACCAGCCCCTGCGACGGGAGAATACTTTTACTGATTTCGGATTGATACGCCGGTGGCGCCACGATCTGCACGACACAGACCCAGCGGCGTGTTACCGGCTGCCCTATCGTGGGGGCCATCAGTGGTCACGCGACCTCACGACACCCAGACAAGTTCAGCAAGCATCAATGCGTTCTGTGTGCTTAGTGAGAGTTTTTAACGTTCTCGATAGCGTAAAAGTTAACTCGAATTCGCATGGAGTTGGAACGTTTGCCTATGCCTATGTCTTTTATATGTGTATACATATGTCGCATCCGGACACGACAAACGAAGCGAAAGCGTGCCACCTAGTGAATGCGAACCGCGACTACTCGTCAAACATCGGCTCTGTTCGGCTGGTATGCTTCAGCAGAGTCCAGTGTGTTTAGTGCGAGTTTTTAACATTCTCGATAGCGTAAAAGTTACCTCCAATTACTATTACGTTTGTCGCTAAGGGCGCTGTTCCAACTGCATACAAATTTGAGTTAACTATTACGCTATCGAGAACGTTAAAAAACTCGCACTAAGCACACTGGTGGTTCAGAGTTTTCAATGTCGATCCTTGCAGAACGATCGAACGGAATATCTACTGGTGGTAGGGCCTCTTGAGAGTCCGCGCGGGTAGGTACCACCACCCCGCCTATTTCTGCCGTGAAGCGGTAATGCGTTTCGGTTTCAAGGGTGGGGCAGCCGTTGTAACTATACTGAGACCTTAAAACTTATATCTCAGGGTGGGTGGCGCATTTATGATGTAGACGTCTATGGGCTCCAGTGACCACTTAACACCAGGTGGGCTGTCAGCTCGTCCACCCATCCAAGCAATACAATATATGTGTATTTCGCGACGAGCCAGCGTCAAAACCTCGATCGATTCTAACGCGTACAAACGCTCGAAGCGAAACCAACTTTGCTGTACCCGTAATGCGTAACCCGACTTTTCCATGGAAAAAGAAAAGAGAGGCCTAAAGAACGGGACGAAGAATTCGTTATTTTTCCTTTACATAATCGTTTAATATGTGTTTTTTTTTATTGCCCTTGTGGGCAGACGAGCATACGGCCCACCTGATGGTGAGTGGTTACCGTCGCCCATGGACTTCAGCAATGTCAGGGGCAGAGCCAAGCCGCTGCCTACCGAATCCGATTTAGCAACTTATTTTTTATGTATATATTATACCACCTTAAATACCTTTATGTTTTCCAGGTTTTCTATTAATTAAACGGTTTTCTGGAAAATATCGATCTTTTAGCGATAAGACCGCCTATTGTACAAATATATCTGCTTGTTGACTATTTTTTTAATGTTATTATTTTTTGGTGTGCAACAAAGCATATTCTCTCTCTCTCTCTCTCTCTCTCATTTTGGATATGTTTGTTCTTTGCCTGGAAATGCGATGGTACAATTTATAGCTGTCCGTCATTACATTTCAATGTGAATTACCGTTACGGTTGCAACTGCTCAAAATTTTCCCCAGATTCAGGGAAAAAACATGTCGAACTAACAAAAAACTGACCCGAGTTCTTTTTGTCTTGATGTTTGTCATTCGAACCGTGATGGTTCTGAAGCGGCTCCGGCTTGTCGACCTTCGCCTGGTTCTGGGGATGCTGATGGTGCTCCTCGAGGGGCTTCCGTTCTTGTTCCTGGAAGATCAAGAGCATAGTACTGTTAGGGTATTTTGTGTCACAACTAAAAAAAACTGAACAAGTTAACTATAATTTCAACTCTACTTCTGAACGGGATCTACCTAAAATCTTGAACTAGATATGCCTATAGGTCATGTTCATTGGATCTGAAATTTTCAAAAGAAAAATTTCTAGTAACCTCGAGGGGTTAGGCTAACCTCACCGAATGTGTAGGTGAGCTTACGGGGCTCAACCTAGGCGACTGTGCTAACACCAGCCCTAGCAAGAGCCGTGCTTCGCAGAATCTACTGCCGGATCGGAAACGCGACCCACTGAGAAGATCCGATGAGAAACTCAGTGGACAGCCCAGTCTGTGGGTTAATTTCTCTACCCTTCATCGCATTCGACGGCTCCAACGAGAACGGTGACCGGTGCTTGCAGAACATTCTTAAATGAATGCCAGATTTCAGTTTAACTTCGCTTAGATGCTTTCCGAAGATTATTAAGTAAAACAAGTGTGGCGGTAGTTATGATACAACATAAGATATTTGACAAATGCCTGTATATCGCTTTCGACATTTTCAATATCGTCCTCTCCGAGTCGCATTCCTCATGTCTGAGGGGTCCTGACCATCTCCTCCCATTACCTTCTTTGGATGATGTTACACCATCTTTCCAAGTTTTTATTTATTTATAACATAGATAGGTTGGAGATCACGGCCTACCTGGTGTTAAGTGGTTACCGGAGCCCATATACATCTCCAACGTAAATGCCGCCACCCACCTTGAGATATGAGTTCTAGTCTCAGTATAGTTACAACGGCTGCCCCACCCTTCAAACTCAAAACGCATTACTGCTTCACGGCAGAAATAGGCAGGGTGGTGGTAACTACCCGTGCGGACTCATCACCAGTAAGCTTGCATATATACAAGTTCCGAGAAACTACATTAGGACCATTAGGTGAAAGATCTCTGTTTCGTTTTTAGGATTCCTAGCGAGGGTAACGTTGAGCATTGCTGTTCGGCATTGACTTACCAATGTGCCATTATGATGCGTGGAGTCTGTGTCGTGGGGCGGGGTCGAGTGACATCTCGAGGCTGCCACAGCTGCCCCGAGTGTCGGCCAGTCGCCGATATCCGTGAAGTCTGACGCCTGCGGACAAAACCAGAGGAGGGATCTTTAGATATTTTATCGGATTATCGCTGTAACTAAAGCCGTCTGTGTGTTTAGTGCGAGTTTTTTAACGTTCTCGATAGTGAGATAGATTGAGTTCTAGGGGCGCTGTTCCATCTGCATACAAATTCCAGTTAACTTTTACGCTATAGAGAACATTAAAAAACTGGCACTAGGCACACTGGTTGCGACCAGACTGTGAAACTCTTTTAATTGCCGCCGATCCTCTTTAGTGACACAGTCGAATGGTCGTTTCCCAATCCTTCCCTCATCACGTAAAACCGAATACGTAGCAATTGCAGTGAGATGCCCATAGAAACGTACAGTTATACCATCGCACCCTGCTAATTCATTACCAAAACCCCGACATTTCGCCACTTAATGTACCTGCGCGTCGTTCTCCACTTTGGCCCAGCTCCTCCTCGCCCTCGACTTCCTCCTGGCCGTGACGCCGGCCGTCATCGCGATGTGTTCTTCTAAGGCTCACCGATACGAGCGCGCACACACACATACACACTCACGACGACATTCCGTCAGTACTCACTCGTTTTCAGTATTTCGAGAAAATGATATCGCGTTTATTCAAGATCACTATTTTATGTATTCATTATTGAGCGTCTGCTGTTCAGGAAACAAAGTTATATAAGTCGAGAGTTTTAAAGATCAGACCGCCTTCAATTAGAACTAATAGAATACCGCTGATACGTCATACACCCCGCATTGGTAGGTAGCATCATCCTGCCTATTACTGTCGTGCAGCAGTTATGACTTCCGGCTTAAAGAGTGGTACAGCCGTTGTGTAACAAAATTGGTGATTTGACGTTTTATCGACCTTGATGGTGTGTGGTTACCGTAGCTGGTAAACGTCAGCAGAGCTTAGACGTTGCCTACCGCTAAGATAGCCTACCCGTGATAGAGAGGCGACACCAAGACGACAATCATAAATCAATAACAACACGACTCTCCCAATTACTAAATCCACTACTACTATTGCAAAACCAAGGTAACAAGTCAATCAGCTCGAATTGGGTGATATTATTAAGCAAGAAACGAATCCAGTTTTATGACGCATAAATTCACATGTTAAAACCCTATTAGAATTTCCGATTACGGCTCTTGCTCGCAACCGAACGATGTCAAAACTGTGACAGGTGTACGCTACGACCAGATGCCTCGAATTGATTCGTTGGGAGGCTATCACGACAATATTTAACTTATAGAGGGGTAGGTATAAATACTTCAAAAACGTGCTCGCCTTTAACGGTTTTAAGGCGTCCATATTCCTATCAGCTTTAATAAACGCCTCTTTAAGCTTGTTGAGAATGATAATTTTTGTGACTACCTTCACTTGCACAGACACAAGTCTCATTGCATTATTAAAGCTAACTTTTACGGGTTAATCTTGTTTTTTTTTCCATTTTTTTTTCTGGCTGGTTATCAATACACTGTAGACTTCGTGGTCGCCGAATCTTTCGTCAAAACAGCAATGCATTATGTCCACGATTTGCGAATACAGTTGAAAGTACTACGGGTATTGCATTATTATAACTGACGTATAAGACACGAGGGGCATTGCTGCTTCAAAGGAATATTAAGACGACACTACTACGGTTTTATATGGTTCTGGCTCTTACTCGGCTCAAACTTATCGTACGTGGAAAAAGAATACCATGGAGTCGATTGTGAGTTAGAATAATCGTATTAGAATCGAACAATACATTTATAACAACATTAAATGAATACTACGATATACATAATCCGAATGAAAATCCTCTGATACATCTGATCATTAGCGAAAAAGCAAGCATTTAAAAAAAAACAAAGAAAAACGTACAAACTTTTCGTCACTACGATTTCATTATAATCACAGTTTCGAAACTACATAAAATACATAAATAAGCTGTGACATTTCGTTTTATAAAATTAAGGAAGTCATTAACGAAAGGAACCGGTTTCGTCTGTGCAGGAATTATTTCGTCTCGCTTTCGATTTAATGTCATGTTTATTGGCCGATATTCGTTCTCACGACTCGGCCAATGCCGGTGCCAAGCCCCGATGAGAACGAAAAGGAGGGTTGAATTCGAGTTCGACCTTTCCACCCTAAAACAGTCAACGCCGAATATGTGGCGGGGGCGGTTAATTATCCGGACCCAAATAAGACTTCAGTGGCCTTTCTCTTTTTCTCCACCTTATCCCATTAGAGCTAATTTTTTTGTTCCATTCTCTTCTTCAGCCTTCAACACTCACTCCTCTCTCACTCATATCGTCATTCGCACACACCATCCATGTCTTCTTCAGTCGACCTCTTCACCCTCTACCATTTCCATATATCTCCTAGTCACATGCATCTTCTCTCTACGCATCACATGTCACTACCACGCTGACCGTCCGCTCTTTAATTTGTTAATTACCGGGACTACTTTCACATTTCCTCTAACAGACTCATTCGTTTTCCATTTTAGGCTTCAGTGGCCTCGAAGAACTAAATCTCTTCCAAAAGCGCTGCCGTGGAAGGACGCGGGAACCCACCATGTCTATTTTCCCAAGAAAGCCGCATGAGGTCACGACCCTCAGCATTGAGCATTATCGACGCAAGAAGGAGGATTCGTTCTCCCAAATCGTGCGAAAATACTGATCGCATTTCAACGAATAATAATAGTCGCGTGTCGATTGCCCAAATATAGTTTTAATATATTCCATCATCAAGGCCACATATGCGGATGTCACACTAATTTGCCTTAGCTCTCTTAATAGATCACAGAGCGTCTTGCCTGATTAAAAAATTAAGCGCCGTTCAGGATCGTAAGCTTTAAATCGTTAATTTTAGAAAATAATTGAATTCTGTCTAGATGTTTAAACGCCAGGAGAATAAGCGTCGTTTTTTTATTGCTTAGATGGGTGGGCGAGCTAATAGCCCACATGGTGTTAAGTAGTTACTGGAGCCCATGGACATCTACAACGTAAATGCGCCACCCACCTTGAGATATAAGTTCTAAGGTCTCAAGTATAGTTACAACGGCTGCCCCACCCTTCAAACCAAAACGCATTACTGCTTCACGGCAGAAATAGGCATGGTTGTGGTACCTACCCGTGCAGGCTCACAAGACGCCCTATCACCAGTAAAAAAGTGACACGACTTCACAATCGAAATCAGTACCCAAAGACATTATCATTAACGATTTCGACGGTGAATATACAACACCATGTGCAACAAAATGAAACGGGTAAACATTACAAAGGTTGAGAGGTACAACCATTGTGGTATTGTGGTATTATGGTACTTCCCGGTCTAAGCTATGGCAAACCCGTCACACAAAGCGATTCGCAACCGGCGGACACTTTGGGGGTCTTGCAAAAGCCCTACAACAGATAACACGCGACTGCTGAGCCTCGAGCAGTTCAAAATACCGCTCCTGGCACACCAAATTCTTCGCCACGCAAAAACTAAGAATATCCACCTTTCAGTCCCACGAATCTACGTCGATGATAACGTTGACAGGACTGTTACTATGTGGCGATCTTCACAATGTCCACACCCCCGAAACCAATTCGCTTGTAAATTATAAAAAAGGTCATACATTCCGCGGACTAGACCAAGTCGTAACTACTATACCGGATCCTCTAATATGATCATTTGACATTATCGAGCAGCGTAAACTATTTTTATGAGTTGACGTTTTAATTTTAATGTTCTTAGCCCACCTGCTCACCTTTAGCACAATTCATAATTTGATCGGTTAATAGCTGAGCGACCGAGCAAAGCGAGAGTATGTGTTTGCGATGTCGTTAGGGCGTTCTTGAGAGCATGTTACCCATAGACACAGCCCACTAAGTTTTTCGCCGGATCTTCTCAGTGGGTCGCGTTTCCGATCCGATGGTAGATTCTGCGAAGCACTGCCCTTGCTAGGGTCAGTATTAGCAACACTCCGGTTTGATCCCCGTGAGCTCACCTACATACGTTAGGGTGAAGCTGAAACACCCTCTCAAGGCTATCAGCATTGGTAGGAAAAAAAAGAGAGCATGTACGAATGGATAGGAGGATCCTGCTGTACACATTTATCTGTCGCAAATCGTAGCGCAGACGATTGTCAGATAATTGTCCAACAATAAGAACTGGAGCACGTAAGCACCATAATGCCACCGACCTTGATAAATTAGGTCAGTAATAGGACCAGCTTGTGGTGAGAGCTTCCAACATCCCTCGACGCCAGTGATTACGCTATTTGCTGGGTTCATTTTTATAGCAAACAACATTAAAATCCTACATCGTGGATGCCATTGGCAAATACGTGCAAAGTACGTATTTCATTAGAAAAATTGGTACCCGCCTGCATGATTTGAACACAGACACATTCGTACACACATTCTCGAATTAAGAGACCATCCTACTTTTTGCCCTACCTATTCGGTGGTAGCCAAAAGGACAAATCCAGCTTCTCACGGACGGGTAAATGAGCTCACGGGCTCAACTTGAAACACAGTTTGCTAACACTAGCCCTAGCAGTGCTTCGTAGAACCTACTATCAGATCGGAATCGCGACCCACTCAGAAGATCCGGCGAGAAACTCAGTAGGCTGTGTGGGTCAGTCGACTAAGACGGTGACAGGTCCTTGAAGAGTCGAAAAGCACCTGTGAGTGGATCTGAGTGATCCCTTCTTTTGACTACAATACCACGGAGTTGAAGGAGCTGTCTGTGCTCTTGCCTAGCTGCGTTAACACGTATCCCCTGACGAATATCCATGCAGACCACTATAATAAAATCGCTGAGAACGACTCATCATTAGACATCTCGTCTACAAACACCATCAGAGGTCACTGAGACGGTTACGGGCCCAACCCAAGAGCCGTCCGGATTTACCAATCCGATTGCACAAACATAATTATGATTGCATTAATATTCATAAAAAAAACACCTAATGAAATAAAAATATGTATTTACAAAATTATATTGTGTAAGGACCGACACGTACGATCTACAT